ACGGTGATGTATGTAGAGACACAACAGTTCCTTGGTCCAAGTTTTTATTTTGCTGCTGTATCTTCTGTCGCTGCTCAGCACTACGAGGGGATTATGTGAGCAGATGGCTTGGGAGTTGGGGTGGGTTTTCCCAGTCAAGCACACAGGAGGAAAGAGTGATTGGATGGAAACAACTAGGAGACCTTACAGCTTGGTGGCAGAAGAGTTTAAGAAAAAAAAGAAGGGCTGGGAAGGTGGCTCAGTGGTAGAGCACTTGCCTTGCATGCATGAGGCCCTGGGTTCGATTTCTCAGCACCACCTAAGCAAAAAGAAAAAAGCCGGAAGTGGCGCTGTGGCTCAAGTGGTAGAGCGCTAGCCTTGAGCTGAAGAGCTGAGGGACAGCACCCAGGCCCAGAGTTCAGGCTCCACGACTGGACCCAAAAAAAAAAAGAAAAGAAAAAAACATGAGGCCCAAACATGTTTTGAAGGTTAGACAAAATGGGGGGAACATAGGAATGGAGGGAGGAAGGTTGAGCAAATGTAGTCTATATTTTTTTTTTCTTTTGTCTGTTGTGGGGCTTGAACTCTGGGCCTGGACGCTGTCCCTCAGATCTTCAGCTCAAGGCTAGCACTTCTTCCACTTGAGCCACAGCGCCACTTCTGGTTTTCTGGTAGTTTATTGGAGATAAGAGTCTCACAGACTTTACTGACGGGTGAGCCGCGAATTGAGATCTCAGCCTCCTGAGTAGGTAGCTAGGATTATAGGCATGAGCCACCAACACCCAGTTTACTCAATACATTGAATGTATACTACGTACATTTGAGGGGTTGAAACGAGAGAACCAAGAACGGATGACAATTTAAAAGGCTGGTTCCAAATGCTATGCTTGCTGTTCGGCATTCTTTCCAGTTTTTTGTTTTTTTTTTTTTGGAAGATATTTCAAACAGAAGCATGTATCATAAATACCTCAAATGTTCTCTACCTCTGTTCAATAATACCTGAATAATCCTAGTACTGAACTACTTATGAAACAATGATTCTGGCATGAGAGAGGCACTGATATAGTCCCAGCTGCTTGAGGTTAAAGTGAGGCAAGAGGATTAGTTGAGCCTATAAGTCTGAAGTAAATCCAGACAACATAACAAGCAAGACACAAGTTCAGAAATGCCTTGACTATTCATTCTAGTTTTCCTCCTTATCCAAAGATTTTTGAGCAAATACCTATTCCTCAATGGCTAACACGTTTGATCTGTCTGTTTCTCACTCTGACTGGAAGAACCCCACCATTTGTATTTTCATGACTGTTGATCATCCGGGTCTTTGTGCCAGTGTTTATCTGGAGTACTAATGTGTCCTGGTGCTGCTGCCCAGCTTCCAGTGTACCTATCAAGTGTATCACTTCTCCAGTGAAACCAAGGCCTATGGCGGTGCCCTGTGGGGCACGGTACTCAGGGAGGGACCAACTGCTAACTGCTTCTTTCTTCCAGGACTGCGAGGAATGCATTCAGCTGGAGCCGACCTTCAGTAAGTGCCCTTTGCTACTCCCTTTACCCCCTGACTAGCCCAGAGCTTGCGGGAGGGCAAAGGGCCTAGAACATGGAGCAGTATCAGCAAGGGGTGGGCATACCAAGGAATAGAACTTAGAGGCTGTGCGGGTAGTTGCTCACCTCTTCTGTCCTGCAGTCAAGGGCTACACTCGGAAAGCAGCTGCCCTGGAAGCCATGAAGGACTACACGAAAGCCATGGATGTATACCAGAAGGCGCTTGATCTAGACTCCAGCTGTAAGGTGGGTTGTCAGCCTCTGCCTTCTGCTTCACTTTCTTCCTCTTCCATGGTCAGCAGTCTTTGTCCTGATGAAGTAGTGGTTCAAGTAGTGTTGCCATTCTTTCTCTTTGGTCCTTTCTGGAATGCAGGAGGCAGCCGATGGTTACCAGCGTTGTATGATGGCACAGTACAACCGACATGACAACCCTGAGGATGTGAAGAGAAGGGCCATGGCCGACCCCGAGGTGCAGCAAATAATGAGCGACCCAGCCATGCGGCTGATTCTGGAACAGATGCAGAAGGACCCGCAGGCACTCAGCGAGTAAGCCTAGTGTGGGGAGAGCTTGAAGGAAGTGAGCGAGTAAGCCCAGTGTGGGGAGAGCTTGAAGGAAGTGAGCTGGTGTAACTAGAAAGGGAAGGGCCTTATCAACCTGATCACTGAATGACTTATGCAGCTGGAAAAGCCAGGCTTGCCTATAGGTTGGCCTTGGCTTACAGCTCTGCAGGCAGGCACCCAGAGGACTGGCACATTTTTCCTGTGTGTAGAGGTGATGTTTGCTAGAAATTCTACATATAAACTACTAGCCGCCTGCCTGGACTCTAGGGCCGCCTTCTTAGGCACCTCTGCTTCCTCTTGCTGGTATTTTAACGGGTGGAGCACTTGCTTAGCAAACCAAATATAACCATGTTCTTTTAATCCTCAGCATGAAATCCTTTGTTAAGATCAAGTCTCCCTTGATGCAACTTTGCCTTTTCTTTTTTAGACACTTAAAGAACCCTGTGATAGCCCAGAAGATCCAGAAGTTGATGGACGTGGGTCTCATCGCAATTCGGTGATGACTTGCTCATCCCCTTCACCCTCCTGCGGAAAGATGAGAGCTGGGAAGGCGGCAAGCAGTACAGAGCAGAGGGAGAGGGGAAGAAAGACGGCTTATCTTTATATTTATACATGCCTACGCCGAAGACACAGACTCATCCAGCTGCCGCCTCGGGCCCGCCCAGCACACGCATGGTCTCTTCTCTGCTGTCCTTGAGTTCCGTGTCTCCTTCCCCTGCCCCGGGTCACTGTCTCGGCTGCTCCCTCATAGTTGGTTATTTTTTATTTGGGGCAGTGGGCACGTATGGGGAGGGGAGGGTGTTCTTCCCAACCTAGGGTCCCAGCTGTCTTTACATTGTTACTCCACGTCCCTTTCTCCAATAAACAAGCCAGTCGGGCGTGGTTATATGTGACTTGAGTGACTGCCCTACCTCCCAAAACTTGGTCAGGGTGGTTGGGGAGAGATTGGGGGAGGGGGGGTGAGGGAGGGGGCCTGAACCTGGCCTTTTCCTCTAGCTTGTATGTGAGGTCCGCTTAGTCCTATGGCTTGGCAAAGGTGGCCACTAGGTGGTGCTGTTACCCAGCAGTTGGGACCCGCTACCCAGAGTCAGCTGTGAATGGTGCCAGGCTGCTAATTCTCATAGTCAAACCAGCTAGATTTGTGTCATAGATCCAACTTAATCAAAATGGGTCAGAAGAGCTGGGTGCTCACATCTGTAATCCTTGCTACATATAGGAGGCTGAAGTCTTAAGGATTACAGTTCAAAGCCAGCCTAGGCAGGAAAGTCCATGAGCTTCTTCAATGAACTTCCAAAAAACTACAAGTGGAGCTGTGGGTCAAGTGGTAAGATGCTAGCCTTAAACACAAGAGCTCAGCAGCTGTGTTCAAGCCCCAGGACTGGCACAAAAAAAAAATCAGAAGGGATAGTCTGACCTGGCAGTGTAGGAGTTGGATCTTAGATCTTAAATTTTCAGTTTCACTGCTGTTGTTTTGTTTCTTCTGTCAGTCGTGGGGCCTGAACTCAGCCTGGGCACTGTCCCTCATCTCTTCATCTCAAGGCTAGCACCCTACCACTTGAGCCACTTTGGCTTTTTCTGCTTATGTGGTGCTGAAGAATCGAACCCAGGGCCTCACGCATGCGAGGCAAGCACTCTACCACTGAGTACCCTTCCAGCCCCACTGCTGTTGTTTTGAGTGCTAGGTTTTAGCTTGCTTTGGATTTGCAGTGAGCCTGCCCTAAAGCCCTTTGTGCCTGAGGAAGCTTGTGGGTAGTATCTTCCGCCTTCGCTCCTGCAGGGCCACATCCCTGGCAAGCAAGATGCTGAGGCCAGCAGCAGGCTGTATTTCCTGCCACCCTGGGTTTGCATAATGACTTTTTCCCCTGGGGGTATGACTTGTTCTCCACCAGGGACTACTACTGTGACTTAAGCCTCTGCCCTCAGCCCAAGTTCTCTTACTGAGAAGGATGTATTTTTGCTTAGCTGTTGACAAACAGGTCTTGCTCTCCTGAAGCTTGTGTCCTGATGCAGGAAGGCTTTGGGCCATCCAGGCCCTCTAGTACACCTGAGCTGGAGATTGCAAGGCTCATGATAGGAGGAAAGGGAGGCATCTTGTAGCTGTGAATGGGTTACTCATGCCTTACAGGTGTAAGCTACTCAGGAGGCTGAGATCTGAGGATCACAGTTTGAAGCCTGCCCAGAGACAGTAAATCCTGAAGACTCATCTCCAATTAACTATCAAAAGAAAAAGTAGAGCCGTGACTGAAGTTATAGAGCACTAAAATTGAGCAAAAAAGCCCAGGGATAGGCTGGGAAGGAGGAGGCCCTGGGTTTGCTTCCCCAGCACTACATAGCAGAAAAAGCTGGAAGTGGCACTGTGGCTCAAGTGGTAGAGCACTAGCCTTGAGCTGAAGAGCTCATGGACAGCCCCTAGGCCCAGAGTTCATGCCCCACAACTGAGTAAAAATAAAAAATTTTAAAAATTTGTTAAAAAAAAAAAAGGCCCAAGGATAGTGCCCAGGCCTTGAGTTCAAGCCCTAAGACTGGCATACACACACACACAGAAAAAAGCATCCAAACCCCAGTACTGGCACACACCCAAACTCACCCAAACAGTTAACTTGTTTCCCTGGGTGAGGGTAGGGCAGTGTCTTTGGTCAGTAGGACAGCTGGGGCTTGAGCACGTCTGACTGGAGGTCCTAAGTTGATGGAGGTCGGGGATGCCTCCTATGGAGGCAATCAACCCCTAACATTGGAGTGCCTCTATTCAAATTGGACACATCTTTGTGCTGCTGGGTCCCTCACTTCCTGAGCACTGGGGCCAAAGGCAGGAGGGGCCCCCCCAGAGCCCTCTGCTGGCTGTACTTCCTGCACCCAGCGCCAGCCCACCCTGGGGTGGGGCCAGCCCTGCCCTGTACAATAAGGGAAGCTCTGAGCAGAGGAACCCAGTCTTCTGGGTGCAGGTGTGCAGCCGGGCCAGGGCTGGTGGGCCTCCAGCACTACCTGCAGCCCCTCCCCGTTGCAGGCAAGGTAAGCTCAACCAGACCCTGGACCCATTTCCCCTGGGCTGCCTGCAGCCCCTGCCCAACCTGCTTCTCCACAGGAGGTAGCCATTCTTCCTACCAGCTTCTGTAGGCCTCGGTGTTGAGCTAAGTTCACCCTGGTAGGGTGGGTCTGCACCAAGCTTTTGGTGGGGTACAGTTCCGGGGTTAGGCTGAGCTTTGGCATGGAGCAGGTGGGCACAACCTAGACAACATGGTCTCCAAGGAGGCCTTCACAGCACCCCAACAGCAAGGGTCTGTGGTTGGCTCAGATTACCGCAGTGCCACCTTGTCCATGGGCTTGCTCTCTGCCAGCCATGTGCCCCAGCACCGTGGGGCTCCCCCTTAAACCTGGGAAGCGATCAGGCTGAAGCACTGCCCACCCCCTCCCTCCAGCAGAAGCAGCCATGGCGGGCATGAAGACAGCCTCCGGGGACTACATTGACTCATCTTGGGAGCTACGGGTATTCGTGGGCGAGGAGGACCCCGAGGCTCAGTCAGTGACCCTCCGGGTCACAGGAGAATCGCACATTGGAGGGGTGTTGCTGAAGATCGTGGAAGAGATCAGTGAGTCTGTACTGCACATGGCACTGGGACTAACGGGTACCAATGGCACTTCTGGGCCATCACTCCTGCACAGCTGACCATGCTGTGTCACAGTGACTCAGTCATCAGCTTAATCATTTGGTTCCATTTCCCTGCCTCCCTTCCTCCCACTCCAGAGGTTCTACTTCTGGTTCCCCAAAGAGCAGCCAGAACTCGCTCCTCCGTGCACACACTTATACAGGCAGCAGAGGACGGCTTGCCAGGGCCAAGGCCCAGGTCAGGCTCCTGAGACCAGAGGCGAAGCCTGGGGAGGCCTAGGGGACTGAGGCTTGCTCCCACACTTCCTCCTAGGCAAAGGCCCACAGGCTGGTGACGAGCCTGGGGTAGGCAGGCCCTGCCCCCACAGGAAGTTACAGCACCAGGGCTGCCTGCGGTGTCACTGGTGGAGATATGGGGGACCAGCGATAGGGGGGCTTCTCATTGTCCTTTCCTGCCACAGTGGGGGCTGCCACTTCCTGGGAGGATGGCAGGCATAACTTGATAAGAGAGTGCGGGCCGTGCGGGGGGTGGAAGAGGGGGCAGGGGGCAGAAGCCAGTCCCAAAGAATTCAGTCAGGAGCTTGGATCCTAGGCTACACATGGGGAACAGACTTCCTAGATGTGGCCAGCCTACCATGGCTACAGCCCAGGAGCAACGGAGTCTAACTGGCTAGCCCTGTCCCTAAGATACGTCCCTGGTCACACGGCAGAGGCCTAGGGGCCTGAAGAGGCTGTGAAAGGAGAAGTGGGAGCAGAGGGTGTCAGACAGAGCCGGTGTCAGAGCCCGCGTGAGACCTGGGCCAAGCCAGGACTCGAGTTTAAGGACTGATTGGTCCCAGGGCGCTGCACGTGGTTACTGCAAGTCCTGGACATGGAGCCTCCCCTGCTCCATCACTGGGATGCCCCTCCCAGCAGGTCTATCCAGCTTGAGGTCCTGCAGTGGGAACAGTCTCCCCACACTCCTACTCCTAGTCGCTCTTAAGTACATTAGATGTTGGGGTTCAGCCAGTTCGGTCTCTACCACCTAGCGTATGACTGAGCGAATGTCTAATCAGGGCTACCACTGAGGGCTGGCACTCAAACAGGGACAGCTCCCTGGGTAGCGAGGCCAAGGAAACTGCCACTTCAGACAAGCCCTAGGGCTGGGAAAGTGGCTCAGTGGCAGAGTGCTTGCCTTGCATGCATGAGGCCCTGGGTTTGATTCCTCAGCACTACATAAGCAGAAAAGGCTGGAAGTGGTGCTGTGGCTAAAGTGGTAGAGTGTTCACCTTGAGCTGAAGAGCTGAGGGACAGTGCCCAGGCCCAGAGTTCAGGCCCCACAACTGGCAAAAAAAAAAAGACAAGTCCTAGCTGGACACCAGTGGCTCATGCCTGTAATCCTAGCTACTTAGGAAACTGAGGTCAAAGCACCTGCACAGGAAAGTCTGTGAGACTCTTATCTTCGATTAACTAGCAAAAAAAAAAAAGCCAGAAATGGAGCTGTGGTTCAAGAGGTAGAATGCCAGGCTTGAGCAAAAAAGCTAAGGGACAGTGCCCAGGCCCTGAGTTCAAAACCTAGTACCCTCCCCCCCACTCACATACACACACAATCTGAGGCTCAAAGAGGCAAAGCGTCTTGCTCAAGGTCACCCAGCTAGAAAGTAGTCAATGTTTACAGTGCTTGCTGCTCCTTGCTGGGCAAATTCCAGGCTCTGAGAAGATACAGACATAGTCTGCCTCAAGAGAGAGCATCAGCCCTGGAGGACATAGCAGGTGCTGTACAAAGGCAGCCCCAGCCCCAATGGGTGAAGGGCCAAGATAGGGCCTTCAGGGGAGCGGGGGGGGGGGGGGGGGGGAAGGGGGAGATAGGAACGGATAGGAAGGGGAAACAAAGGAGGAGGCAACAATGCTGCTTGATAAGAAATGTACTCATTATCTTGCCCATGTAATTGTATGTAATTGTAACTCCTGTACAGTATTTTCACAATGAAAAAAAAAAAAAGATAGGGCCTTCAAGATTGGGTCACCCAGATTCTGGGTTAGGGGGCACCTCCAGGGAGTGATGTAAAGATTGAGCCCAGAAGAACCAGCAAGGTTCAGGTAGCAAAGAGCCATGTGTTTTCTCATGATCCTGGGATGTGCTGTCTGGGTAGAAAGAGGAGCAGGCTGGTGGAGCCTCCCTGCCCCCAAGGCTGATATGTACCCCCATTTCTTTCCCTCCAGATCGAAAGCAGGACTGGTCTGATCATGCCATTTGGTGGGAGCAGAAGAGACGATGGCTGCTACAGACCCACTGGACACTGGACAAGTACGGAATCCTGGCTGACGCTCGCCTCTTCTTTGGGCCACAGCACAGGCCGGTCATCCTGCGGTTGCCTAACCGCTGTGCATTGCGCCTGCGCGCCAGCTTCTCCAAGCCCCTCTTCCAGTCTGTGGCCGCCATCTGCCGCCTGCTCAGTGAGTAGCTGGATGGGCTTCAACCCACCATCCTCTGGTAGGCTCAAGTCCCCACCCTTGCCAGGCCCAGCCGGTCACCTGTCCTTATTGTCACCTGTCCTGTTTAAATGGGCAAGGCTATGAACCTACCCCTGAGGTGTTGAGGGGTGACATGGGAGATCACTCGCAGGGCAGGACCTCAGGGAGTACTGGGGCCCCACTGCCCTCAGGCATCCGGCACCCTGAGGAGCTGTCTCTGCTGCGGGCTCCTGAGAAGAAGGAGAAGAAGAAGAAGGAGAAAGAGCCAGAGGAAGAGATCTATGACTTGACCAAGGTCGTCCTGGCTGGGGGTGAGCATGACTGGGCCAAGCTAGGGCTAGGATCGAGCCCCAGGCTGGGGACAGACCTGACTTCTCCCTACCTGCCTGCAGGCATGGCCCCTGCTTTGTATAGAGGAATGCCAGCTCACTTCTCGGACAGCGAGCAGACGGAGGCCTGCTACCGCATGCTGAGCCGGCCACAGCCGCCACCAGACCCACTCCTGCTGCAGCGCCTGCCCCGGCCTGGCTCCCTGGCTGACAAGACGCAGCTCCATAGCAGGTGTGCGGCGCATTCCTGGCTCTCCCTGTATTCCCCACCCCCAGGCTTCCAGGCCCTACCTGTGTGTGCACAGTCCCTGCCCCCCTCATGGCCCCCAATGCTCACACCTGCCTATGCATGGTTTAGATGGCTGGACTCCTCGCGCTGCCTCATGCAGCAGAACATCAAGGCGGGGGACACGCTCTGGCTGCGCTTCAAGTACTACAGCTTCTTTGACCTGGACCCCAAGGTAGGTGGTGGGGGCAAGGGGGGAGGGGGAGGGGGGAGGGGGAGAGGGGCCTCTGGAGCCACCTGAGGAGCACTATGACCACCAAACTTTAGAACTTTTTTTTTTTGGTTGGTTGTGGGGCTTAAACTCTGGGCCTGGGCGCTGTCCCTCAGCTCTTCAGCTCAAGGCAAGCGCTCTACCACTTGAGCCACAGCGCCAGTTCCAGTTTTCTAGTAGTTTTTATTGGAGATAGGCGTCTCACGTACTTTCCTGCCCGGGCTGACTTTGAACCCTGATCCTCAGATCTCAGCCTCCTGAGTAGCTAGGATTACAGGCGTGAGCCACCAGCGCCCGGCTATAACATTTTTATCAAGAGAAAAGACCCCCCCACACACAGTAGCAATCACTTTCCGTTTACATCTTAGTCCATTTTGAGTTGCTGTAACAAAATACCTGGGACCAAATGATTTATAAAGAGCAAAGGTTAGCCTTTGCTGAGGATCGCGGTTCAAAGCCAGCCCAGGCAGGAGAGACCGTGAGACTCCTATCTCCAATAAACCACCAGAAAACGGAAGTGGCACTGTAGCTCAAGTGGTAGAGTGCTCGCCTTGAGCTGAAGAGCTGAGGGACAGCGCCCAGGCCCAGAGTTCAAGCCCCAAGACCGACAAAAAAAAAAAAAAAAGAGCAAAGGTTTAGGGCTGGGAATGTGGCTTAGTGGTAGACTGCTTGCCTAGCATGCATGAAGCCCTGGGTTTGATTCCTCAGCACCACATTTACAGAAAAAGCCAGAAGTGGCACTATGGTAGAGCGCTCACCTTGAGCAAAAGCTCACAGACAGTGACCAGGCCCTGAGTTCAAGCTCCATGACTGGCAAATAAACAAACAAACAAATAAATAAATAAAGCAAAGGTTTATTTGACCAAGGACCCTGGAGTCTGAGGCTCTGGGGGAAAGGAAGCCTGTGGCCCAGGAAGGCTCCCTGGAGGGACAGCAACTGGACCTGAGAGGCAGTGATAGTGAGGAAGGGGCTTTTAGGGTGGCCCCAGGGGACCCTGTCTGTCTGTCTGGCTGCCATCCACTGCCACCAGTAGCAATGGTAAGCTCTGTGCATCTGTCTCCTTCACTGCCCCAGCCTCTCGTTCCTCCTGTGACCCCAGATCTCTGTAAAACATCTAGACATGGCTGTCTGCTGGGCACTTGCACTGCTGGAAGCTTTCCTTAGGTGTTCTTCAACTCCGCCTGCCAAACCTGCCCAGGTGTCTTCTGTCCCCATCCACCAGCCTCTGAGGTGACCCTGGCTTCAATGCTTTCTGTCCCATTGTCCCTTTCCACCCAGTTCTTAGTGTGTGTGTGTGTGTGTGTGATACGTGTACGTCACTACTGGAGCTAGAACTCAGCTGCTGATTGGAGAGCTCTAGGCTGCTCTCTGGGCTTTCCCTATCTCTTGTCTTCCTCCTGGTAATCTTGAATCTTGCGTTTTATGCATTTAAACACCACCTTAGGCTCTTGGCATCTCCCACTGTATAACCTTCTGCTCAGAAATTTCTTCCTTAGCTCTAATCACAGGGGACTAACAGGCCTCCAACTCACCATCGCAAGTAGCAAGGATTACAGGTATGAGCCGCTGGCACCTGGCATGCTCTGCTTCTTGATATACAGCTTCATTTTCTGTTTTTTTGCTGATTAATTGGAGAAGAGTCTCATGGACTTTCCTGCCCTGGCTGGCTTCCAACTGCAATCTTCGGATCTTAGCTTCCTGAGTACTTAGGATTATAGATGTGAGACACCAGCGTATAGCTCATGAGTTGTTTTTATGTCTTTGGAACTTTATACTATTCCGATCATTTTGCAATATACTATAGGTTGGTTTTTCTTTCTTTTATGATTTTATTTCTTTATGTATATATTTATATACTTATTTAGTGCTAGTCCTGGGGCTTGAGCTCAGAGTCTTTGGTGCTGTCCCTGCACTTTTGTGCTCAAGGCTGGCATTCTACCACTTGAGCCACAGCTCCAACTTCCAGTTTTTTTGGTGGTTTATTGGAGATGAGAGTTTCATGGATTTTCCTGCCTGGGCTAGCTTTGAACCATGATCCTCAGATCTCAGCCTCCTGAAGAGCTGGGATTATAGGCATGAGCCAGCACCCAACCATTTTTGAAATGTTCCTAGAACTGTGTAACTATCACCACCAAACTTGAGGACATTTTTATCATGACCAAAGACATTCCACACCCAGTGGCAATCACTTTCCCTTTACATCTTAGTCCATTTTTTTTTTTTTCTGGCTGATTGTGGGGCTTGAACTCTGGGCCTGGGTGCTGTCCCTGAGCTCTTCAGCTCAAGGCAAGTGCTCTACCACTTGAGCCACAGTACCACTTCCGGTTTTATTGTGGTTTCTTGGAAGTAAGAGTCTTTTGTTTCTTATTTTTCAGCTTTGTGAGTTTTTTGTTTTGTTTTGTTTTCTTTGTGCTGGAACTTGGGACCTGAACATTATCCCTAAGCTTTTTTTTTTTTTTTCCTCAAGGTTAGTGCTTTACCACTTGAGCCACAGCTCTACTTCCAGTTTTATTGATGCTTCATTGGAAATAAGATTGAGTTTTCTGCCCTGGCTGGCTTTGAACCATGATCCTCAGATCTCAGGCTTCTGAGTAGCTAAGATTACAGGCATGATTCACCAGTGCCTAGCAGCTCTTTGTGTTTTTATTCTACTTTCAGTCATGGAGCTTGAACTCATGGCTTGTGCGCTGTCCCTGAGCTCTTTTGCTCAAGGCTAGCGCTCTACCACTTGAGCCACAGCGCCACTTCCAGTTTTCTGGTGGTTAATTGGAGATAAGAGTCTCATGGATGTTCTGCCTGGGCTGGCTTTGAACAGCCATCCTCAGATCTCAGCAGCTAAGGATTACAGGCGTGAACCACTGGCGCTGGGCTTTGGAAGTTTTTGGGTTTTTTAAAATTTATCTTCCAAAATACTTTTTGAACTTTTCTTCTCATCAATTGTAGTTTATTCTTTGTTGTTGGTGGTAGTTTTTGTTTTGTTTTGTTTTTGTTGTTGGTTATGGTTGAACTCTGGGCCTAGGTGCTGTCCCTCAGCAATTCAGTTCAAGGCCAATGCTCTACCACTTGAGCCACAGCGCTACTTTGGGTTTTCTGGTGGTTTATTGGAGATAAGATCTCACGGACTGGGCTGGGAAGGTAACTCAGTGATAGAGTGCTTGCCTTGCATGCCTGAGGCCCTGGGTTCGATTCCTCAGCACCACATAAGCAGAAAAAAGCCGGAAGTGGTGCTATGGCTCAAGTGGTAGAGCGTTAGCCTTGAGCTGAAGAGCTGAGGGACAGTGCCCAGGCCCAGAGTTCAGGCCCCACGACCGACCAAAAAAAAAAAAAAAAAAAAGATCTCACGGACTTTCCTGCCCGGGTTGGCTTTGAACCACAATCCTCAGATCTCAGCCTCCTGAGTAGCTAAGATTACAGGCATGAGCCACCAGCAACTGGCTTGTTTATTTGTTTTTAAATTCTGAGAGTGCTTGCTTTCTGAGTGTTGCTTTTAAAGCTCTTAAATTTATAACTGAGCACTTGTAATCCTTGCTACTCGGGAAGCTGAGGTCTAGAAGATCAAGGTTCAAAGTCAGCCAGTCAGAAAAATCCTTGAGAATCCAGTACCAATTAACTAGTGAAAAGTAGAGCTGGAGGTGGCATCAAATGGTAGAATGCCAGCTAATGTAGCAAACCAAGCAAGCATGAGGTGTGGCCCTGAATTCAAGCCGAGGTACTGGCACACATAAAAAAACCTTTAATACAAATTTAGTACAAAAATGATCGGGGCACTCATGGAGAGAGATACTGTTGCAAGAGGATCACAAGTTGAGGCCAGCCTGGGCAACCTACCAAGGCCCTGTCCAAAGGACTGGGGATGGCCACAAGCTGGTGTGGTACGTCTATAATCCTAGCTACTCAGGAGGCTGAGAGCTGAGGCTCGTGGTTCAAAGCCAATCTGGTCAGGAAAGTCCATGAGACTTTTTTTTTTTGCGTATGTGGTGCTAAGGAATCGAATCCAGGGCCTCATGCATGCAAAGCAAGCACTCTACCACTGAGCCACCTTTCCAGCCCTCCATGAGACTTTTATCTCCAATGAACTTCCAAAGAGTTAGAAGTGGTGCTGTGGCTCAAGTGCTAGAGCACTAGCCTTGAGCAAAAAAAAACTCAGGACGGTGCCCAGATGCTGAGTTCAAGCCCCAGGATCAGCACACACACACACACACACACACACAAAAAAAAAAAAGATTGGGGGGGCTGTAGCTTAGGGGGTGGGATCAGTCCCTTCCAGCATGTATGAGACCCTGGGTTCAGTCCCCAGTACCACAAAAACATAAAATTTAAAGGTACTAAAGGTGTGATATTTGCATATAACTGACATGACCTTTCCTTATATTTGTTAAAAAAGAATTTGGGGGGGATATGAAACTTTTCTTGGGGGGGTCTTGTAGTTGGGGAGTTGCAGACACCCCTAGAGTAAGGTGGGGTCTGACACCATCAGCCAGTTCTGATCTTCCCTGCCTGGAAGTTTCTGTCTCTTGTACTTTAAACCATCTCTGAATTTCTTAGAACACCCAGTCCAATGTTCAAGCTATGAAGATAATTCTTGGTTGTTGTTGTTGTTTTGTCGGTCGTGGGGCTTGAACTCTGGGCCTGGGCGCTGTCCCTCAGCTCTTCAGCTCAAGGCAAGAGCGCTACCACTTGAGCCACAGCACCACTTCCGGTTTTCTGGTGGTGTATTGGAGATAAGAATCTCATAGAGTTTTCCTGCCTGGGCTGGCTTTGAACCGTGATCTTCAAATCTCAGCCTTCTGAGTAGCTAGGATTACAGGTGTGAGCCACCAGCGCCTGGCTTGAAGATAGTTTTTATACTCTGTTATTTAGGAAACAATGACAAGAAAAAATATCTGCTCATATTCAGAGCTGGCATAGATTTTTTTTTTCTTTAATCTATGGCTGGCTCAGTCCTCAGATTGGGGATGCGTAGATCAGGAGTCTGGATGATGATATGAATGTACTTCTCTTTGGGTTTGGGTTTGGTTTTCTGCCACTACTGTGGCTTGACCTCAGGACCTTACACTTGAGCCACAGCTCCACTTCTAGCTTTTTAGTGGTTAATTGGAGATCAGAGTCTCATGGACTTTGCTGCCTGGGCTGGCTTTGAACCATGGTCCTCAGATCTCAGCCTCCTGAGTAGCTAAGATTATAGGTGTGAGCTGGTGGTGCCCAGCTCCATAACAGTTTTGATTCTTTAACACAGTGTATCACTATATGGCCTAGGCTGGCCTCAATCTCATGAACCTCCTGCCTCAGCTACCCAAGTGCTGAGATCATAGTGGTTTACTACCAGGCCTGGCTGTTTGCTTGAAGAGATTCCTTGACATTTAACTCACATCCTATGCTGTAAATGTTCAGTTTGGTTATTCTTAGTAAATGTGCGCCACTGTGCAATCATTATATCCATGTTTGAACATTTCGCTGCTTCAGAAAGTTGGTTGGTGTCTATCTCTTTGCCCTCCCACACCAATCCAGCAGTCAGCTTTTCCTCTGGTTGTAATTTACATTTCCCCAGTGACTAACACCGTCCACCCTTTTCCACTGCCTGTTAGTCATTTTGATATCCTCTTTTTTTCTTTTTTTTTTTTGGTGCTTGTGCTGAGGTGTGAACTCAGGGCCTGGGTGCTGTCTCTGAGCTTTTTCAGCTCAAAGCTAGGGCTCTACTATTTGAGCTTTTTTGTGGTTGATTGGAAATAAGCATCTCTTGGACTTTCCTGCCTACACTGGCTTCAAACTATGATCCTCTGGTCTCAGCCTCCTGAGCACTTAGGATCACAGGTGTCAGATATCTGTGCCTGGCTCCTCGGAGCTTTTTTTTTTTACCCTGTCTGGGTCTCTGTGGTTTAGGCCAGCAGCTTTGCTAAAATGTGCCAATTCTGGACCTGATCCTTTTGCAGACTTTCTCCAGCCCTCACTCCAGCCCACCCAGGCTTCTCATTCAGAAGATTCAAGCTGGAGACTTCCTTTGGGCTTGGCCACGCGAATGGCTGCCTTTTACCCAATCTGAGTTCTTGCTGATCTGGGTTCTTCCTGTACTTGCCTTCTGCTGTCCTGGCGCCTCTGCATCCTACCTGCTACTGTGGTCTTGAAGTTGTCCTTTTTTTTTTTTTGGTTGTGGGGCTTGAACTCTGGGCCTGGGCACTGTCTGTGAGCTCTTCAGCCCAGGGCTAGCATTCTACCACTTGAGCCACAGCACCACTTCCGGTTTTCTGATGGTTCATTGGAGATAAGCATCTCACAGACTTCTTTTTTTTTGTCAGTTGTGCTTGAACTCTGGGCCTGGGCGCTGTCCCTGTGCTCTTCAGCTCAAGGCGAGTGCTCTACCACTTGAGCCACAGCGCCACTTCCAGTTTTCTAGTGTTTTATTGGAGATAAGAGTTTCACAGAGTTTCCTGCCTGGTCTGGCTTTGAACTGTGCTCCTTAGATCTCAGTTTCCTGAGTAGCTAGGATTACAGGTGTGAGCCACTGGTGCCCGGCTTCTTTTTTTTTTTTTTTTTTTTGTCAGTCATGGGGCTTGAACTCTGGGCCTGGGCACCGTCCCTCAGCTCTACAGCTCAAGGCTAGCACACTACCACTTGAACTACAGAGCCACTTCCAGTTTTCTGGTGGTTTATTGGACATAAGAGTTTCACGGGCCGGGCGCTGGTGGCTCACGCCTGTAATCCTAGCTACTCAGGAGGCTGAGATCTGAGGATCACGGTTCAAAGCCAGCCCGGGCAGGAGAGACCCGTGAGACTCCTATCTACAATAAACCACCAGAAAACCGGAAGTGGTGCTGTAGCTCAAGTGGTAGAGCGCTCTCCTTGAGCTGAAGAGCTGAGGGACAGCGCCCAGGCCCAGAGTTCAAGCCCCATGACCAACAAAAAAAAAAAAAAGAGTTTCACAGAAGCTGGGCGCTAGTGGCTCACGCCTGTAATCCTAGCTACTCAGGAGGCTGAGATCTGAGGATCGCGGTTCAAAGCCAGCCCGGGCAGGAGAGACCGTGAGATTCTTATCTCCAATAAACCTCCAGAAAACCGGAAGTGGCGCTGTAGCTCAAGTGGTAGAGCGCTCGCCTTGAGCTGAAGAGCTGAGGGACAGCGCCCAGGCCCAGAGTTCAAGCCCCACAGCCGACAAAAAAAAAAAAAAGAGTTTTCACGGAGTGGGCTGGGAAGGTGGCTTAGTGGTAGAGCGCTTGCCTTGCATGCCTGAGGCCCTGGGTTCAGTTCCTCAGCACCACATAAGCAGAAAGAAAAAAAAAAAGCTGGAAGTGGCGCTGTGGCTCCAGTGGTAGAGCGCTAGGCTTGAGCTGAAGAGCTGAGGGAGTGCCCAGGCCCAGAGTTCAGGCCCCACAACCGGACTCAAAAAAAAAAAAAAAAAAGTTTCACGGAGTTTCCTGCCTGGTCTGGCTTTGAACCTTGATCCTCAGAGCTCAGTCTCCTGAGTAGCTAGGATTACAGATGTGAGCTACTGGCGCCCAGCTTCTCACAGACTTTCCTGCCCAGGCTGGCTTTGAACTGTGATCCTCAGATCTCTGCCTCCTGAATAGCTAGGATTACAGATGTGAGCCACCAGCACCTGGACTTTTTTTTTTTTTGCCAGTCCTGGGGCTTGAACTCAGGGTCTGGGCACTGTCCTTTGAGCTTCTGCTTGAGGCTAGCGCTGTACCACTTGAGCCACAGCACCACTTCTGGCTTTTTCTGCTTATGTGGTACTGAGGAATGAATCAAACCCAGGGCTTCATGCATGCTAGGCAAGCACTCTGCTACTAAACTACATTCCCAGTTCCCCTGCACCCACCCCCCTCCTTTTTTTTAAGTGTCTTTATTTTGGGTGAGACATAGGACATACTTCTCTGGGTAACTAGGACCCCTTTTTGCCTTTACCTTCTTTGTTCCTTCTCCCTAGATTCCTCTTCTATCTTCCTTCCCCTCTAGTGGCCCCTTATCCCCCTCTAGGGTGCTGCTTAACAAGCTACCTCCTCAGAGAAGCCTTTCCTGATTGCATCCTTCTTTTTTATTTTTTTGGTCGGTTGTGGGGCTTGAACTCTGGGCCTGGGCGCTGTCCTTCAGCTCTTCAGCTCAAGGCGAGCGCTCTACCGCTTGAGCTACAGCGCCACTTCCGGTTTTCTGGTGGTTTATTGGAGATAGGAGTCTCACAGTCTTTCCTGCCCGGGCTGGCTTTGAACCGTGATCCTCAGATCTCAGCCTCCTGAGTAGCTAGGATTACAGGTGTGAGCCACCAGCGCCCGGCTTAATTGCATCCTTCTTATACCTTATAGCCCCTTGGGTGAGGGCTGGCGAGCTGCCCCAGGGAAGCCATTTCCTGCTGAGTTGTATCATGGATAATGAGCAATACACAACAGAGGAGAAAACACTGGTGCCTGCTTGGGCACCAGAGGACTGGTAGCTGGGTGGGGTGGGGCCACAGCCTGGGTGTCCAGACCAGATGATCTGACCAGCCTGCCCCCTCCACCCCCTGGTTGTTGCAGACAGACCCGGTGCGGCTGACGCAGCTGTACGAGCAAGCTCGCTGGGACCTGCTGCTGGAGGAGATCGACTGCACGGAGGAGGAGATGATGGTGTTTGCAGCCCTGCAGGTGCCCCGGCATCCCAGGACAGCGGGACTCTGGCAGGAAGAGCCCTGGGTGGGGGGAGGCAAAGCCCAGGCTGGGGCACCATTAGGGGCTGGATGGGTGCACTCAGCCTCTCCTGACCATGCACCCCCAGTACCACATCAACAAGCTGTCCCAGAGTGGGGCTATGGGGGAGCCAGCCAGCTCTGACCAGGGCTTGGATGACCTGGATGCAGCCCTGAGCAACCTGGAGGTGAAGCTGGAGGGCTCGGCCCCCACAGACGTGCTGGTGAGGAGACACCCTGTCTGAGGTTGAGCGTGGGGCTCAACATGGGGCACTCTTTGATTCCGCTCCTCCCCCTAGGACAGCCTCACCACCATCCCAGAACTCAAAGACTATCTCCGAATCTTCCGGTAGGTTTGGGGCCCCGTGTGGATGGTGGGGGAGAGAGGGACAAAGACAGTCCCCAAACCTCCTACTCCCCACCCCCTCCCCCATCAGGCCCCGGAAGTTGACTCTAAAGGGCTACCGGCAGCACTGGGTGGTATTCAAGGAGACCACGCTTTCGTACTACAAGAGTCAGGAAGAGGCTCCAGGGGACCCCATTCAGCAGCTCAACCTCAAGGGTGAGAGGCCTGGACAGCCAGGGGACAAAGAACATCTGGTGGGGCCGGCCCTCCCCGTCTTGTGTAGACCACTGCCCCCCTCTCCCTGCAGGCTGTGAGGTGGTCCCCGAGGTCAACGTCTCCAGCCAGAAGTTCTGCATCAAACTCCTGGTGCCCTCACCGGAGGGCATGAGCGAGATCTACCTGCGGTGCCAGGATGTGAGGCTGGGGAGGGCGTGGCCAAGGGGTGGGGCCTGGGCCTGGCCCCAGGGCTGGTTCCAAGCCTCACTCCCGTCTCCCGCTACAGGAGCAGCAGTATGCCCACTGGATGGCTGGCTGCCGCCTGGCTGCCAAGGGCCGCACCATGGCGGACAGCAGCTACGCCAGCGAGGTGCAGGCCATACTGGCCTTCCTCAACCTGCAGCGGGCCGGCGGAGGCGGGGGATCCGGCAGCCAACCCCAGGGCTCCGATGCCTCCGCTGAGAGCCTCAACCCTCATGGTCTCGTTGCCCCCCGATTCCAGCGCAAGTTCAAGGCCAAGCAGGTGCCAGAGGGGATGTGGGTGGGAGTAACCACAGCTTTGACCCCAGATCTCCACAGAGCCTTCCTTAGGAAAGCACATGCTCTCTTTTCCCTTCTACTGTGCCCCCGAAACCTCCCTGGGAGGATGGTCACCACAGTGGGCACTGCCCTTCCTGGGGCTCAGTGCCCTGTCTTCTGAGGATGGGGTTGGAGAGCCACCACCAGCCCCTCACCAATATGGCCCTGCAGCTGACTCCACGGATCCTGGAAGCCCACCAGAATGTGGCCCAGCTGTCACTGAGCGAAGCCCAGCTGCGTTTCATCCAGGCCTGGCAGTCGCTGCCCGACTTTGGCATTTCCTATGTCATGGTCAGGTATGAGGGCAGCCCAGCCCTGCCTGGCCACCGGCCTGTCTGCCTGCTGCTTTACGCTTGCTTCCTAACAGTGGGTCCTAGACAGGATCCTCATCCTTTCCACTTCCCTGTTAGTGGGAACACTGAGGCATGCAACCCCCCCTCCCAATTCTGCACCCAATAACTAATATAAGAGACAAAGCAGGAAAGCCAGTGCTGTCTCAATCTGCCTTCCTTGTCTGGGCCTCAGTCAGCTGCCCTGTGGTATGGAGCTGGTGTAAGGAGGCCACATCATTATTCATCCCCACGACAGGAGAGAGGCAAAGATGACGATGACAAAAATCACACAAACACAATTACTAAAGACATGGATGACTTGTGAGACACCGAAATAGCCATATAATACTTTGTGTGGGTTTTGGCAGTACTGGTGTTGGAACATAGGCTTCAGCTGGGCACACACCTGTAATGCTAGCCACTCAGGAGGCTGAGATTTAGGGATTACAGTGTAAAGCCAGCCTGGGCAAGAAAGTCTGTGAGACTCTTATCTCCAATTAGCCACCAAAAAACTAGAAATGAAATTATGGCACAAAGTGACAAAGCACTAGCTTTGGGCACAAAAGCTCAGAAACAGCACCCAAGCCCTGAGTTCAAGCCCTAGAACTGGCAAAAATATAAACACACACACACACACACACACACACACACACACACACACACGCACACGCCTCTAGATAGGCAAACATTTCACCATGTGTCATGCCTCTATCCTTCCCCCTCCTTTTTTTCTTGTACCAGAGCTTGAACTCATAGCCTTGTGTTCTTTCTCAGCCGGTACTGTACCACTTGAGCCATGCCTCAAATCAAGCTTTTTGTTGGCTTGAATCAGTCTTCAAACTGTGATCCTCCAGGTCTCAACCTATGGCTAAGATTATAGGTATGAGACACCAGTGCCCAGCTAATTTTTTTTTTTTTTTTTTTGTGGTTGTTGTTGATCATGGGACTTGAACTCAAGGTTAGCACTCACCATTTGAGCCACAGCGCCACTTCTGGTTTTCTGGTGGTAAATTAGTGATAAGAGTCTCATACCCCGGGGCTGGGACGGTGGCTCAGTGGTAGAGCGTTCGCCTTGTATGCCTGAAGCCCTGGGTTCGATTCCTCAGCACCGTATAAACAAAAAGAAAAAAAACGGAAGCGGTGCTATGGCTCAAGTGGTAGAGTGCTAGCCTTGAGCTGAAGAGCTGAGGGACAGCACCCAGGCCCAGAGTTCAGGCCCCACGACCGGACCAAAAAAAAAAAAAAGAATCTCATTTCCTGGGCAGACTGGTTTTGAACCTCAGCCCTCAAATCTCAGCCTAGGATGACAGGCGGAGCACCGGGCAATATTTTGCCTCTGAGTCAGGGTCGCCCTTCCTTTTTGCCTGGGCTCCCTGCAAAAACCTCCTAAGAACTGGAATTACAGGCATGTACCACCCTACCCATGATTCTTTCTAGATGAAGGAAATGACCTGCTTAGGGTGGCACAGCTGGGGAGTGTGGCAGAGCTGGGGCAGGCACACGATCTATCTCCCTCGCCGTAGTTGGTTTTGGAGTGCTGTGCATATTGTCTGGGTGCTTCCTGTGCTGTGCATATTGTCTGGGTGCTTCCTGTGCTGTGTGTGCTGTCTGGGTGCTTCCTGGGGGCCACACAGCTTGGCGGCCTCACTCACACTATCCCTCCTGGGATCAGGTTCAAGGGCAGCAGGAAAGACGAGATCCTTGGCATTGCTAACAACCGACTGATCCGAATCGACTTGGCCATGGGCGACGTGGTGAAGACCTGGCGCTTCAGTAACATGCGCCAGTGGAATGTCAACTGGGACATCCGGCAGGTGGGCCCTGGGGGAGGGGATCGACGGGACAGACAGGACAGCTGGCCAGCCAGGCTCTACCAGGGCAGGGCAGGGCTGCCCCCTAATCTCACCTGCCCACCGGCCCTCTGACCGTCTACCTGCAGGTGGCCATCGAGTTTGACGAGCACATCAACGTGGCCTTCAGCTGCGTGTCTGCCAGCTGCCGCATTGTGCATGAATACATCGGGGGCTACATTTTCCTGTCCACCCGGGAGCGAGCCCGTGGGGAGGAGCTGGACGAGGATCTCTTCCTACAGCTCACTGGGGGCCATGAGGCCTTATAAGGACAGCCAGGTTGCCCCTGACGTGCTCACAACCTTTCGTGGCCATTCCAGAGCCCACACCTAGTGGGCTGCACTGACCCCTCCCCCCAGGCATGTGCCAAGCTGGGCACCTTCAGCTGCGGTCACTGGCAGACCAGAGCCCTGGCCAGGCCCCACTCTGCTGCAACCTCCTAGCTAGGAAGGATACAGAGCCCTTCTTCCCTTGTCTTCCCTCTCTAGAGGCCAAGGCCTGCACCCACCATCTCTCTGTACCCCTGAGCACAGGATGAGGAGTCTCAGTTTCAAAGTCGTTTTTTTCTCTTGTGACTTTTTTTAGATTGGTTGGTTTGACAGTACTTGGATAGAACCCAGGGTCTTGTGCTTGCTAGGCAAGTTTTCTACCACTTGAGCCATGCCCCAGTCCTAGATTTTTTTTTTTAATAATAAATATTTTATTGTTGGATCATCTTTCTTCCTCAGGGGCTGTGCTAGGGCCACTCTGATATTCTGTCTCCTTATCATTGACCAAGGAGAGACGCTTTCCTGGGATAGAGACAAGAGAATGGAGATGAGTAGAGCTGGGGGCTAGGAGAAAGGCTGAGAGCAGAAGGGCACAGGCTTTGGGCACGTGGGGGGAGGGGAGTGGGGCAGGGGCAGTTCTCACGGGTGGGGCGCAGCTGCAGGGCCTCCTTGAAGTACTTGGGGAGCAGGAAGCCATCAGCATTCCCTGGGGTCAGGATCACTCCATTGGCAGAGCGGAAGAAGGGGATTCCATCTGCAGACAGAGCTAGAGATGTGACTCAGGTCCCATCTCCCCAACCACCCCTAAACTGAAAAAAGATGTAGGTTGGTCCCTTCTGTGTCCACACTCACCTGCCAGGGCCAGAGGTCCATTGATGAACACAGCCACTTCACAGTTGGGGCGCAAGCCTGCAGGCAGGGACAATTGGAGCTAAGGCCTGGAGACCACAGTCAGCACACCTGGACAGAACGGGGCCCTGGGATGAAGGGGATGATGCCCCTGCAAAGCAGAGGTGGCCTTGCACAAGTGATGCTGCGACACTTGGAGGGGGGACTGGGGGGGCGGGGTGAGACTAGGTGGATGAAGAGGATACTGACCACTGATGACACCAGGATCACCAGGCAGTCCTGAGGCCAAGTGGATGTGTGTCCTTCCTTGACATGACAAGCCCTTGAGCAAGATAGATGGCCAGTGCTTCCAGAATGTACCATGGACTAGCATCAGGGGCAGTGCCTGAGGTGTTTCCAGGGGCACCAGCTCCAACTCAGGTACCTGTAACCGATGGTTGTATGAGCAGCCGTGAGAACCCCATGGCGGACCGGGTCCCACCTGGCTCTCCATCTGTTCTCTTGGCACTCACCTGCAGAGAGTGACCCTGATTGGCCCGGATGAGGAGGCCAAGGCCGGGATCTCCCTGCTGCAAGGCAAATCGCTGCTTCCCATTGGTCTCCACCACACGCTTTATGTCCTCAGCTGAGAAGCTATGGAACTGAGGCAGCTGCAGGAGGTGGTCCAGGGGCACAAAGCCATCTGTGGGCACAGGGTGCTCTGGAGCAGCCTTGCTTCAGCCTTACTTGAGCCTTGGCTCAAACCAAGGTTGGGCCCAGAAATCCCAAGGGCCTTTAGACCCTTTCTGGGTCTCTGTTTCTTTAATGAACATGAAAAGAGGAATTGAATGTAAAGAGTCACACAGACAAAAGACTTAGCCAGGTACTGACGGCCCATGCCTATAATCCTAGCTATGCAGGAGGCTGAGATCTGAGGATCCTGATTTGAAACCAGCCAGGGCAGACAAATCTTAGAGTTTTTTATCACGGGGCTGGGAAGGTGGCTCAGTGGTAGAGCGCTTGCCTTGCATGCCAGAGGCCCTGGGTTTGATTCCTCAGCACTACATAAGCAAAAAGAAAAAAGCCGGAAGTGGCACTGTGGCTCAAGTGGCAGAGCGCTAGCCTTGAGCTAAAGAGCTGAGGGATAGCGCCCAGACCCAGAGTTCAGGCCCCCATGACTGGACAAAAAAAAAAAAAAAAAAGTTTCTTATCTCCATTTCACTGCCAAAAAGCAAGAAGTGGGGATATAGCTCAGGTTGTAGAACATCAGCCTTGAGCAAAAAAGCTAAGGAAAAACAGAAGGTCCTGAGTTCAAGTCCCACTACCCACACACACATACACACCGCAAAAACAAAAAACAACAAAAAACCCACAGATAAAGGACTTAGTACCTGGCCTAGAGTGAACACTCAAGTAAATACCAGTTGCTTTCCACACCCTCCTCCCCAGCTGGAAGGGATATCACTAGGCCTGGGCCAAATAGGAGTTCCTATCCCAGTGGACATGATATGAGGCTTTGGGCATATCCCTGCTGTACCCTTGGGGCCTTCCTCCTAGACAGTGTAGGGGGTCATGGTGGAAGGGACACAGACAGACTTACCAGCCCCCATGGGAAGCCCCAGCTTCAAGGCTCCATGGCGCAGGACATAAGACAGAGCCTTGGACAGTTGCACATCTCGGTTCTGAAAGAGCCCAGCAGATGACTAGGGTTTCCATAGGGACCCTGCCCTGCTACCTACCCTGTGGTCTCCAGGGCCAGTATGACCCACTGGTCTCCCTCAGCCACCAGGAAGCCAGAGCTCAGGGTCCCTTCCCTTGTCCCCCCCCCACTGGGCTGAGAGTGAAGGGAGGCGCACCTGTTCCCTGGGTCTGGAAGCCCGTCTACCCCTGGGCCCTGCTGCTTCCTGTCTCTTTCCTCCAGAGGCGCTCATCATAGCAAGACCTGTGGGGAGTAGTGACTTGTGGGGAGACTGCTTTAAAGGTCCCTCCCATGGCCCCAGAAAGTCACAAAGCTGAGGACAAGCCAAGTGCGGTTTATTTAATCTGCTTCCTACCCTCCAGCCCCCGGTGCAAAGAAGAAACTAAAGCCCAGCTGGATTCACTTGCCCAAGGTCACCGTCACCCTGGAGATCACGAGGCCCTGGGAGCCTGGCCCCGCGCTCCGGGCCGCGGCGGTGCTGGGGAGCCGGCCCCGGGAGGCGCGGCCGGCGTGCGCGCGGGCACCCCGGGACAGGACCGGCGGGGCAGGAACTCAGACCAGCCGTCGCGGTGGGCGGGGACTCGTGCCGGAACCTGAGCGGCTCGCCCCCACCAGCCAATGAGAAGCCGCGGGAGAATGGGGCGTGCACTTCCGTTTGCGGGAAGGGGCGGAGCCTAAGGGCGCCGAGGGCGGGGGAGGCTGCGGCTTCCGGGGACCTTGCACGTTCCGGGTTGAAGGCAGGATTCCTGGGCCAGGGGCGCACAGCCTTTGGGGGTCCCAGGGCCCCTGTGTGGTAGGGAGGTCCCCGAGTCCCGTGCACCTCAGCCGGACTCGGGGCTCTGGGGAATGATAGGACACTAACTGCCCAAAGGGTGGTCATGGAGGTTCAGAAGGGCTGGGATTTCAGTCCCCTCAGGTCTGCGGCTGAAGGGACCAGCTGCGGGATCCAGGGGGGTAGCGATGCGTTTCCTGGGGTGACAGTCCGTCTGTGTCCTTCCTAGATCTGCTCCGTCTACATCATGGACCCTGAGGTATCCCTGATGCTGCTTTGCCCTCCTGGGGGGCTGCCCCAGGAGCAAGTAGAGGTGGAGCTGAGCCCGGCCTATGACCGTCGCTTCCTGCCAGGAGATGACAAGACCATCACTGCCATCTGGGAAACCCGGCTACAGTCCCAACCCTGGCTCTTCGATGCCCCCAAGTTCCGTCTTCACTCCGCCACGCTGGCACCCACTGACTCACCAGGACCACAGCTACTCCTGCGCCTGGGTCTTACTTCCTACCGAGACTTCCTGGGCACCAATTGGGCCAGTTCAGCCTCCTGGCTGCGACAGCAGGGAGCTGCTGACTGGGGTGACAAACAAGCCTATCTGGCAGACCCACTGGGGGTGGGTGCTGCTCTGGCCACTACTGATGACTTTTTGGTCTTCCTGCGCCGCTCTGGGCAGGTGGCCGAAGCTCCAGGGCTGGTGGATGTGCCTGGTGGGCATCCTGAGCCTCAGGTGAGATGCCAGGATGGGTACAAAAGCACAAAGTCCTACACACCTGTGAGGAACTGGGCCTCTAAGCCCTCCCACCCAGCTCTGGAGGGCACAACCCTGAAAGGAAAATAAGCCTAGTGCTTCTCTGTAAAGTCTGTCCAGGACAGCTCTGCAGTGTCCCCTGCCGCAGTGCCCTTCTGGAGAGCTGCCCCAGGAGCAGGTACAAGCCGAGCTGAGAGTGGCCCAGGACTGTCACCACTGCCAGGCCGTGACAGGGCCCTCAATGCCATCTGGTAGACCTAGCTACACACGCCCAACCCACAACAGACCTGTGGGAAGCTGGGAAACAGTGGGGATGGGAGAGGACAGGAAGTCAATGCTTTATCCTGCCAAACTACTGCTTGCCACCTTATAAAGAATGGTCTGGGGTAAGGGTCTTGTGACCCTTCAGGGCCAGCAAAAGGAAAGAAGACAGGGTGAGAAGAGGCAGGAAGGCAGAGGTTGAGCCTGACTTCTCCCAGGTCCTGTGCCCTGGTGATGCCCCCCAGCACAAGACCCTTCCTGGGGAGCTGGTGGTACGTGAGCTCTTCTCCAGTGTGCTGCAGGAGATCTGTGATGAGGTGAGTTGAGGGGAGGCTGGTGTAGCATGGTGGGCATGAAAGGAGAGGGTAGAACTTGCTAGAATTGGGCTGGGAAGGTGGCTCAGTGGTAGAGCACTTGCCTTGCATGCCTGAGGCCCTGGGTTCGATTCCTCAGCACCACATAAGCAAAAAGAAAAAAGCCGGAAGTGGCGCTGTGGCTCAAGTGGTAGAGTGCTACCCTTGAGCTGAAGAGCTGAGGGACAGCGCCCAGGCCCAGAGTTCAGGCCCCACGACCGGACCCCCCCCCCCCAAAAAAAAAAAAGAACTTGCTAGAATTCCACAGGCCTTGGGCTGGGATGTAGCTCATTGGCAAAGTACTTGTCTAGCAAGTTCAACATCCTGGGTTTGATCCTCAGTACCAAAAAAGAAAAGACTGGGGCTGGGAAGGTGGCTCAGTGGTAGAGTGCTTGCCTTGCATGCATGAGGCCCTGGGTTCGATTCCTCAGCACCACATAAGCAGAAAAAGCTGGAAGTGGCACTGTGGCTCAAGTGGTAGAGCACTAGCTTTGAGCTGAAGAGCTGAGGGACAGTGCCCAGGATGAGTTCAGGCCCCACGACTGGCAAAAAAAAAAAAAAAGACCAAAACAAACAAAAAGAACAGTTAAAAAAAAAAAAAAAAAGAATTCCACAGGCCTTAAACTAGTGAGAGGATCTGCAGAGTCTGGGTGGCACCGAGGGAAGAACTTGGTTTTGGAGCTGGGCATACTCAAAGTGGAATTCTAACACTTACCTCCCTGGATCTCTGGTTCGTGTGGTGTGTGTGTGTGTGTGTGTGTGTGTACTCAAAGTGGAATTCTAACACTTACCTCCCTGGATCTCTGGTTCGTGGTGTGTGTGTGTGTGTGTGTGTGTGTGTGTGTGTGTGTGTGTGTGTGTACTCAAAGTGGAATTCTAACACTTACCTCCCTGGATCTCTGGTTCGTGTGGTGTGTGTGTGTGTGTGTGTGTGTGTGTGTGTGTGTGTGTGTGTGTACTCAAAGTGGAATTCTAACACTTACCTCCCTGGATCTCTGGTTCGTGTGGTGTATGTGTGTGTGTGTGTGTGTGTGTGTGTGTGTGTGTGTGTGTGTGTGTGTGTACACGTGCCAGTAACATGACTTGAACTTAAGGCCTGGTTGCTATCCCTTACCATTTTTCACTCAAGGCCAATTACCACTTAAGCCATACATCCACTTCTGGTTTTTTGGTGGTTAATTGGAGATGAGTCTCGCATAGCCAGGCTCAAGCCTGTAATCCTAACTACTCTGGAGGTTGAGGTCTGAGAATTGCGGTTCAAAGCCAGCCTGGGCAGGAAAGTCCATGAGACTTTTCTCTAGTTAACCACCAGAAAACTGGAAGTGGCACTTGGCTTAAAGTAGAGAGCACTAGTTTTGAGCAACAGAGCTCAGGGCAGTGCCCAGGCCCTCAGTTCAAGCCTCATGATTGACAAAGAAAAAAAAAACGTTTCTTAGACTTTCCTCCCTGGCCTGATTCAAACCTGAATCCTCAGATCGCAGCCTCCTGAGTAGCTAGGATTATAGGCATGAGTCACCAGTGCCTAGTTTTGGGTTCTCCTCTCGATAGTGGAAATAAAGATAAATATGTTCCCTTTCCTAAGATTGTTGAAGGAAGAATAAATAAGGGACTTAGTTACTAAATCAACTTCCCTTGGGTGAAGAGATTTCCCTGGACAAGTTAGTCTCTTTGCTCTGGCTTCCCATCTGTAAAATGGACATTCCTAAGACACGACATTCTGTGATACTGGTACTTAAACTGAAAAATGTCACAATGCTATAAAGTGTAACAGGTTGTTCTCCATTGAGGAGGGCAGTTGTGTGGTCAGTGGACACTGACAGGTGGAATCCCCTGTGAACCTTGCCCCAGGTGAACCTGCCACTGCTTACCCTGAGCCAGCCCCTTCTCTTGGGCATTGCCAGAAATGAGACCAGCGCCGGCCGGGCCAGTGCTGAATTCTATGTCCAGTGAGTAGGCTCTGGGGTACACAGGATCCTGGAGAGCTGGGGGTGAGGGTGATGAGGGACAGGGCTGAGGCAGCTGGGATTCCATAAGGATTTTGCAGGGTTGAACACTCCCCTGGCCACCCTCATATTCTTGTTCAGGTGCAGCCTCACTTCTGAAGAGGTGAGGAGCTACTACCTGAGTGGAGGACCTGAGGCGCATGAGTCTGCAGGAATCATCTTTGTGGAGATGCAGGTACTGGGAGCAAACTGGGACGCCAAGGTTGAGGTCTTCAAGGAAGTCTGGTGAGGCATGTGGTGAGGAGGGAACAGATAGAGGAAACAGGACTTCCAGGCACGGGTTTCCTCCAGAGTCATAGACATAGGCTCAAGCTGGGGCTTGAACTCAGAGCCTGGACGCTGTCCTTTAGCTTTATCTCTCAAAGCTAGTGCTAGTGCTCTACCACTTGAGTCATACTTCCACTTCTGGCTTTTAAGTGGCTAATTGGAGATAAGATTCTCTAGGAGGGGTTGGGAAGGTGGCTCAGTGGTAGGGTGCTTGCTTTGCATGCATGAGGCCCTGGGTTCGATTCCTCAGCACCACATAAGCAGAAAAAGCCAGAAGTGGCGCTGTGGCTCAAGTGGTAGAGCACTAGCCTTGAGCTGAAGAGCTGAGGGGCAATGCCCAGGCCCAGAGTTCAGGCACCATGACCGGCAAAAAAAAAATAATTGTCTAGGATTTGTCTGCCCTGGCTGGCTTTGAACCTCGATCCTCAGATTGCCTCCTGAATAGCTAGGATTACAGTCAGGAGCCACAGGCGCTGTGCTTAGTTCAGTCCCCTTAACAGACTCCGGTACAGAGATAGGGATCGACCGGTACAGAGAAATTCTGGGCACAGCCCTAGTAGGTGTCAGGGATGGAGATGTGGGTCTCACTGTCTTCCTGCAGAGGATGCAGCGATTGCAGGAGACAGAGCTGTGGACTGAGCTCTGCCCCTCAGCCAAAGGCGCCATCCTCCTCTACAACCAGGTCCGAGGAAGTCCTACCTGACTCGCCCAAGGACCCTAGGCCTGTCACCAAAAGTCTGAGGACAATAAAGCACTTTATTCTTGAATCCCGTTGGTATCTGCTGTTTCTGTGAGAGGCGGGCTCTGGGTGGAGACAAGATGGAAAGTGGTGTGTGTGTGGTGGGAGGTGAGGATCAGAACCAGCCCAGGCTCGGATTTCCCCTCTGCAAGCTAGAGCTGGAGCCGCGCCTCCTATGCCAAACTCTAGTGAGATTCCAGAAAGCTCTGGGAAACGTGCCTCGCCGCTGAGCAGAGCAACAATCCCGTCAGCACGACTCCGGGAGGCTGCGCGGCCGAAGGTTCTGCTGAGAGTCACGCTCATTCCCGCCCGCAGCTCGCCCGCCGGCCCTCCCGCCGGTGTCTCTGGTTGGACCTCGGGCCGGACGTGTAAGGCCAATGGGAATGCCGGGGGCAGGCTCTTTGTCGCCCGCCCGCATCGTCCCGCCCCACGGGCGTGGTCTGAACTGATATCTAAGCCAATGAAAACGGGAGGGCGGGGCCTATGTTGCCCCGGGAAATGGCGGCGACCTCGGAGTCTGTGAGTGGGGGGGAGGGGCAGGGCTTGGGTCTGGCTCCTCCTTCGCCCACCACCCCCAAAAGCCTGGGGGTGAGGAGGGGCGTCTCGGGTCCTGGTCAGTGCGAGGGAGGGGGACGGCTGGGTCTGATTAGCCAGTATGAACCTGAGAAAAGCGGCCGTCCCTGTCCTCTGTCCCGGGCCCCGGAGCGCATCAGGCCTGGCCCGACCTGGTCTCAGGCGCCTCTCTTAGCGGCCTCCTCTCCCCAGCTGCGCGCCCGCCGCCATGCCGCCCCTGTGGCCCCTGCTGCCCCTGCGCCTGTGCCGGCCGTGGCCCTGCCACCCTCCCACCCGGGCCCTCGCAGCGGCCGCCGGGCAGCGGTGAGTGCAGGGCCGGGCCCGAGGGTCAGGGGGGTTCTGTGAGGCCATCCAGGCTTAGCCCTGCCCAGCCCAGCCTAGGCTCGGCTCTGCCTGCCGAGGGAGCCGTGGGCTCGGCACTCAGCGTCAGCTGCTTTGTAGGCTTGTCTCAGGTAACACTCCCTGGCACAGCCGAGGACTCTGGAGCTTTGACAGATGACCCCAAGGACAGACAGTAGGTTAAGTGGCAGATCAGAAATTTCATGAACTAGGGTCTGTCAAGCATCTCTGCATAACTCCCTGGGGGAAGTTGGGTACAGAGATGCAGATTCAGACTGGGAATGTGGCTTAGTGGTAGAGTGCTTATCTAGCATGCATGAAGCCCTGAGTTCAATTCCTCACCACTAACCAGAAAAATCCAGAAGTGGCTATGTGGCTCAAGTGATAGAGTGGTAGCCTTGAGCAAAAGAAGTTCATGGATGGTGCCCAGGCCCTGAGTTCAAGCCCCAGGACAAGAAAAGAAAAGAGAAAAGAAAGAAAAAGATGCAGATCCCTAGGCCTTTTGTGGAGAGTCTGATCTGGAGAAATGAGATCCCAGGAAGTAATTGGCTTTCTGGAGGCCCAGGCTGGCCTCCAGGCTCATGAGATTTTCCTGTCTCAGTTTCCAACTAACTGGAACTAAAAGCACCAGCCACCTGGGAATCTGTTGCTTTTACTTTTTGTTCTTTTGCAATGTTTGGGTTGTACTTGGGGATTCACTAATGCCCGGCAGGAGTTGTACCACTCGACTACATCACTAGTTCAGGAGATCTGCTAGGGTTTTTGTTTTTGTGGTCATGAGGCTTGAGCTCTGGTCCCTGAAATCCCTGAAGAATTGAACCCAGGGCTTCATGCATGCTAGGCAAGCATTCTACTACTAAGCCACATTCCCAGCTCAATCTGCTGTTTTAAACAAGCTTTTCTGGTGGTAGTACAAGGGTCTGAGGATGACACTTTGAGTTCTGATCTGAATCAGTCCTGAGATAACCCCCAAAGGGACAGATGATTTGGGGCCAGGTCTGTCTTGGGACTAACAGCCTCTCCTGAGCTGGTGGTAGAGGTGGAGGGTGAGGTCCAGGGAGGTTGGAAGAGGATAGCAGGGGTTCTTTATGGGTTCCCTCAGCCTCTGCTGGTTTGGGCCCCTCTCCATAGGTCTGGGCCCAGTAATTATTATGAATTGTTGGGCGTGGATCCTGGTGCCAGTGCTGAAGAAGTTAAAAGAGCTTTCTTCATCAAGTCCAAGGAGGTACAGTACTTCCAAGGTGTGGAGGGAGGAAGCAGAAACCTGAGCCAGATGGGTAGGGAGCAGCCCAAGTCCACAGAAGCTGACATGTGTCTCTTTCATATCCCTTCCTTCAGCCTGCATGGGGATGAGAAAGGAGGGAAGGCTTGGGGAACAGACCAGAGATCCTGCTGGATGTGCTAGCTTTCCTCTCTCTCTATGTCTCTCTCTGCTTCTGTCTCTCTCCCTCTCTTCTTTTCTTTTCTTTTCTTTTTTTTTTGTGCCAGTTCTGAGGCTTGAACTCAGGGCCTGGGTATTATCTTTTAGCTTTTTTGCTCAAGGCTGGCACTACACCACTTAAATCACACCTCTACTCCACCTTTTTTTTGTGTGTGCGGTTAATTGGAGGACAGGAGACTCTTGGATTTTCCTGTCTGGACTGGCTTTGAACTTCAGTCTTCAGATCTCAGTCAGCCTCCTGAGTAGCTAGGATTACAGGAGGAACCCACTGTGTTCTGCTTTGGCTTTGTTTTCTTTTTGTGTGTTGTATGTTGAACTCGGCCTGGGCACTGTTCTGAAGCTCTTTTGCTCAAGGCTAGCGCTCTACCACTTTGAGCCATAGCGCCACTTGTGGTTTTCTGATGGTTAACTGGAGATGAAAGTCACAGACTTTCCTGCCCTGGTTGGCTTTGACTGTGAAACTCAACTCTCAGCCTCCTGTATAAACAGGATTACAGGCGAGAGCCTCTAGTGTCCACCTTTAGGCTTGGTTTTCTTGACCTGTCTATCTGCTCTTGAGAAACATGGACCAGGGAGGGCATAAGGAGAGAGAGAACAGGAGGCTGGTGGTGGGCGGGGCTAGAAGGGGAATGGCAGATATCTGTATTTCTGGCCTCCTGGAGGGGAATGAGCAGGCCTGAGTGTGAGGGTCACTGCCCAGGTAGGACTTTGGGGGTACTGTGAACTCTTGTGGGTAGACATCATCAAGATGGGTTCTGGAAAGACATAGAAAGGGAGATAAGAGGACCCCTGTCCTACCTCAGTTACACCCTGACCGAGATCCAGGGAACCCCACCCTGCATAGCCGTTTTGTGGAACTAAATGAGGCATACCATGTGCTCAGCCGTGAGAAGAGCCGTCGTAGCTACGATCAACAGCTTCGCTCTGCCAGCTCCTTCACATCTCCAGGAACCACAGCCCATTCCAGATCTTCCCAATACACACACAGGTACAGTGGTCCTGTCCCAACACCCTGCTGGCACCCACCCCCCAGGCTCTGGGAAGCTCTTAGAGCCTCATGTCCATGTTGTCCCTTTTGTTTTCCAGTAGCTCCTGGGAACCCCCCAATGCACAATACTGGGCCCAGTTTCACCATGTGAGGCCACAGGGGCCTGAGTCAAGGCAGCAACAACAGAAAAACAACCAGCAGGTTCTGGGGTACTGCCTACTGTTCATGCTGGCAGGCATGGGCCTGCACTATATTGCCTTCAAGTGAGTACTGTCCTCCCTGAGGGAGGTAGGAGGGTGGGTGACACCTAGAAAGGTCAGCCAGCCATGACACTCCATAGCTTGCATGCTTATGTCTCCCAAGCTAAGAATTATGTGAAATTGATCTTAGAGCCTTTTCTTTATTGAGTAAGGCAGCGTTTTGGAAAGAGCTTCACAAGATGTGCTGCCCTCAAAAACAAAACAAAAAGCCAGCCGCTGGTGGCTCATGCCCATAATCCTAGTTACTTAGAAGTCTGAGATCTGAGGATCGCTGTTCAAAGTCAGACCAGGCATGAAAGTCCAAGAGACTCTTATTATCTCCAGTTAACCACTAGAACACCCAAGTACTAGCCTTGAGCAGAAAAGCTCAGAGACAGCACCCAGGCCCTGAGTTCAAGCCCCATGATCGAGAAAAACAAAAAAACACTAGAGGGCTAGAAATGTGGCTTAGTGGTAAAGTACTTGCCTAGCATGCATGAAGCCCTGGGTTCAATTCCTCAGGACTACTTAAACAGAAAAAGCCAGAAATGGCACTGTGGCTCACGTGGTAGAATGATAGCCTTGAGGTCAAGCCCCAGGACTGGTAAAAAAAACAACAAACACAAAAACAAGAAGCAAAAAAACACCCAGATAGATAATTTCCTGTTCTTCATAATTTGAATATAAGTCTTCGATGCTGGATGCTGGCTGCCAAAGAGCTGGAGTCAATCTGAATAGTGCACAAGAAGCCAGGTGCCAGTAGCTCACATCTATAATTCTAGCTACTTAGGAGGTGGAGATCTGAGGGTCCTGGTTCAAAGCCAATTCTGAGACTCTTAACTTCTTGCAAAAAGCAAGAAGTGAAGATGTGGCTCAAGTGTAGCCTTAAGCAAAAAAGCAGGGGAGAACAAGAGGCCCTGATTTCAAGCCTCACTACAGGGACACACAATGTTGCACAAGAAACAAATACATTGGAATAGAGCCTCTCCATCAAGCCATAGTCCTCAGTTGGTAGTTGGTGTCACCTGACTCTCTTACCTGTGCATAAAATTTTCTTTTTTTCTTTTTCTTTTTGGGTCCGGTTGTGGGACCTGAACTCTGGGCCTGGGCGCTGTCCCTCAGCTCTTCAGCTCAAGGCTAGCACTCTACCACTTGAGCCACAGCGCCACTTCCGGCTTTTTTCTTTTTGCTTATATGGTGCTGAGGAATCGAACCCAGGGCCTCAGGCATGCAAGGCAAGCGCTCTACCACTGAGCCACCTTCCCAGCCCCTTAATTCTAATTTTTTTTTTTTGGCTGGTCATGGGGCCTGTACTCTGGGCCTGGCACTGTCCCTCAGCTCTTCAGCTCAAGGTGAGCACACTACCACTTCAGCCACAGCGCCACTTCCGGCTTTTTCTGCTTATGTGGTGCTGAGGAATCGAACCCAGGGCCTCATGCATGCAAGACAAGTGCTCTACCACTGAGCCACCTTCCCAGCCTGTGCATAAAATTTTCTACTTGAGGCCTGTGCCCACTGCCAGCAACTTCCTAATTCAGTAACAATGTTAGCTGCACAGCCCTTCCTCGTCTCCTGATTGGGCATCCCCTGTTCAGAACAGCTCACCAAGCTTGAGCAGGCCAGCTGAGGCTCTGGGGCCCTCTCCCCACCTATCACGGCCGCTGTTAGGCCAAGGTCCCCACAGATGTGAAGTTGTGAGACTCCAGATCCTGGAGTCACTGGGGTTAGCAGCACCCGCTTTGCAGGAAGTTGGAGCAGGTACACCGGAATTTCATGGATGAGAAGGATCGGATCATCACAGCCATCTACAATGACACCCGAGCCAGGGCCAGGTCTGTCTCCTGTGCGCTGCCCTTGCTCCCTGTCCAGGCCCGACCTCCTCCTCCAACCCGGTCCTGACCTCCCACACGCTCTCTTCCAGGGCCAAGAGAGCCCCGCTCCAGCAGGAGCGCCTGCAGAGGCAACAGCAGCCGTCCGGCCTCCGGGCCTGCCCCAGCCCCGGGGATCATGCCCCCGGGCACCAGCTCCTGAGGGCTTCGCCGCAGGGGGGAGCCTGCAGTGTGCCCCCCTAATTGCTGCCTGCTCCCCACAATGGGTGCAATAAAGTTGATTTCTCAGACTCCGGACTGGCCACTTCCTTCAGGGGCATAAAGGGGTAGCCCGCCCTCGGGCCCCAGGGAGCGCGTCCCCTTCCCCCAGGGCGGCGGCAGCGGCGGGCAGGGGGCACGCGGGAGGGGGCGCGCGGAGGGGCGGGGCCGCGCGGAGGGGGCGGGGCCGGGGCGCCGCGCCCCGCGCCCCGCCCGCCGCCCGGTGAGGAGCGCATGTGGGTCACATGAGCCGCCCGCCCGCCAGCCCGGGCCCGGCCCCCCGCCGCCCCCGTCGTCCCCGCCGCCCGCCGCCGCCGCCGCCGGCCGCCCGCCCGCCCCGCTCCTCCGGCGGCCGCCGCCGCTGCGCTGCGCTGCGCTGCCTGCGCCCAGGGCTCGGGAGGGGGCCGCGGAGCAGCCGCGCCCCGCGCCCGGCCCCCGCCCGCCGCGCCCGGGCCCGCGCCATGGGGCTCTGGCTGCCGCCGCCCCCCGCGCCGCCGGGCTAGGGCGATGCGGGCGCCCCCGGCGCGCGGCCCCCGCGGGCGCCATGGGCCCCCTGCTCCGCCGCCTGCTGCTCGCCGCGCTCCTGCAGCTGGCCCCCGCCCAGGTACGTGCGTGCCGCCCGCCGTGCGCTCCGTGCCCGCGCGCCGTGCCCTCTCAAGGTTGGAGGAAGTGCCGAGGCGACCCACGCGTCCAGCCTGGCCCTCCGAGGCCCCACCGGGCCGGGCATCCCCCGGGAGGTGCTCTTGCGTGCCCGCCCGCCAGCCCGGCCCCGCGCCACTCCCCCGCCCCAACCTAGTCCCCCCCCCCCCGGAGGCGGGCCGGAGCTGCTGCCTCAGTATCCCCAGGACTGTCCATTCCTGACCTGTGGTCTCTGAACAAGCCCAGCCCCCCAGCCTCACAGCTTGCCTGGTGGGTCTGCGGCCAGCAGAGGACAGATAAAGCTAGAGCTGGGGGAGAGAAAGTGAGGTCTCCTCCTGACTCAAGCCCTAGGACACCCCGAGAGCCAGACCCTGGGTCCAGGTCTCTTCTCTCCCACAGGCCCCCATCTCCCAGCCGGATGCCACTGGCCACCAGAAGAAAGGTAACACTTAACAATAGCTTCGCACCAGCCACTACTGAGAGTTTTCCACATGCCTGGATGTTATGGCCATCATCTGGTGTGATCATAGCTCCCTGGTGTGATGTCCACTTCACAGAGGAAGAAATTGAGGCAGAAAGAATGGTACTGGGTTCTAGACAAACAAGACTGTGGCAGACAGGAGCAGGCATTAGTAGAAGGTGGCTGGGACAGGGGACAGGGGGCCGGGGAGGATAGCTTTGGGAAACCCAGTTGGCGTTTAACCCTTCCTGATGGATCTGCCCCCAGTGGTATCATGGATAGACGTGTATGCCCGAGCCACCTGCCAGCCGAGGGAGGTGGTGGTGCCCCTGGCTACAGAGTTCATGGGTACGGTGGCCAAACAACTGGTGCCCAGCTGTGTGACTGTGCAGCGCTGCGGTGGCTGCTGCCCTGACGACGGCCTGGAGTGCGTGCCCACCGGGCAGCACCAAGTCCGAATGCAGGTACGGGGAGCAGAAGGGACAAGCAAGTTGAGGGGTCACCAGTACTCTGGGGACTGGGCCAGCCCGGAGACTAGAGCATGGAAGGCTGTTAGCTGAGCTGTTTTCCCTGTAGCCTATGGAGCACCCCTTGCTCTCTGTCCCTATTGCCCCATACCCCCCTCATTGTGTCTCCCCATTCTTCTCCCGAGCACAGATCCTCATGATCCGGTACCCAAGCAGTCAGCTGGGGGAGATGTCCCTGGAGGAGCACAGCGAATGTGAATGCAGGTGCCAGCCAGGCCCAACCTCTGAGCTTGCAGAGTCTAGGCGTGGGGTGGTGGGGGGCTTGGGGTTCACTGCACTGCGGGCCAGGTTTCTAGGAGTAGAGCCAGAGGTAGGCCTGGGATCTGAGACAAGACAGTGGGATGTGTGGATCTCTTGATCTTTCTCTTCTTTGTCTCTATCTCTTACTTTTTAGACCAAAAAAAAAGAATGTGGTGAAGCCCGACAGGTGAGTATTTGGGGTTCCTGCAGAGATATAACCTGGATGTGTAGAATCAGATAGAAGGTGTGGATGGGCCCAGGGTCACACGAGAGAGGCAAGATCCTGGTTCTTCTTCTCTTTCTCCTCTGTTCCCCAAATCTGTACATTCTGTCCTGGTCCCAGCTCCTGGGAAGACTCTTCCTTCCTGCCCCAGACATGTTGCTTCTCCTCCTAGGGCTGCCACTGCCCACCGTCCCCAGCCCCGCTCAGTTCTGGGCTGGGATTCTGCCCCTGGAGCACCCACCCCAGCTGACACCACTCATCCCACTCCAGCCCCAGGACCCTCTGCCCGCGCTGCCTCCAGCGCCGCCAACGCCCTGATCCCCGGACCTGTCGCTGCCGCTGCCGACGCCGCAGCTTCCTCCGTTGCCAAGGGCGGGGCTTAGAGCTCAACCCAGACACGTGCAGGTGAGGAGTTTGTGGGTGGCACTGCTTTGGGAAGACATCAGGGCTGCGTTCTGGAGCAGGTCCAGGTGAGCCTGCCAGTGGGAGAAGGGCCAGGAAAGGGGAAGCTGCTGAAGGTGTCGAACAAACTTTTCCCCAAGTGTCTGTTGGCATGGAGATCTGTATCAACACAGCTTACAGTCGAATGCGGGAATCAGGAGAGAGAGAGAGAGAGAGAGAGAGAGAAATAACAGCGGGGGGAGAGAGAGAGATAACAGCGGAGCATGCCTGGTGCCGAGGTGGGGCAGCTGATGGCTCTCTGAGCAGCCAGCCATCCTGTGGATGAAGTCATTCATATCTGCCTGGAATGGAACTGAGGAAGCGTTTTCCTGATTCGCTGAGCTCCAGGCCTTCCCAGAAGCCCCTGGTGTTTGCTTTTCTGTATGGACTTTGAGAGACCAGAAATATATCGTAGGAAGACTCTCTGCAGTTTTCTCACCACTAGAGCGGTCATGGATGACATTAGATGGCCAAGCCAGTGGGGCTTTCCCAGAGTGTGAAGAGAAATGGGCCAACAAGGAAGTGTGTCAAAAGGAGCTGGGGAGCTGGACACATGGCTCACACCTATAATCCTAGCTACTGCAGAGGCTGAGATCTGAGAATCTTAGTTCAAGCCAGCCTGGGCAGACAAACCAAATTTCAATTGACCAGTAAATAGCTGGAGGTAGAGGCAGAACCAAGCCAACTCAGAGCTTGAGACCCTGAGTTCAGGCCTCAGTACCAGCATGCTCACATGGGTGTGCATGCACCCTCATTGCCCCTCACCCCCCTAAGGTCTGTGGGCTGAGCTCCAGCCAATCATGAACAGATCCCTTTCTGCCTTCCCCAGGTGCCGGAAGCTGCGAAGGTGACACATTGCTTTTCAGACTCAGCAGGGCCACTTTCCTCAGCCTCACCCCATTTGGACAAGAGAGGGGAACCTGGGGAGAAGACCCTAGCTCCAAGACCTTGGCCTCGATGGAACTTGTTCCAGGACTTGGGCCTCTCAGAGTGCTCTCCTACCATCTGTCCTTCATCTTCTGAGGCTGCCAGCTAACAGAATTGATGAGCCATGACAGCAGCAAGAGAGCTCATGTTCCAGCTTAGGGGAACAGGTGCTCTCGGTCTTTAACCACACCCTGTGCACCTGAGTTTAACAACTGGCTCCTGCATCGCCTCACTACAAAGACCCCAAACTGCTGCACATTTGGGCTTTGGTATGAAAACTGTGACCTCCTTGTCCCTGATAAAAGAGCTAGAAGGAGCTTTTCCTGCCTGTGTCACTGTTTGCCACTGTTCAGGCTGGCTGGGCTGGCTAGTTTGGGCAGGATATCTGCACCAACTGCTTAGCCCAGGAGCTCGTCTTCCCGCCCTTGCTGGGCCCCCAAAGGCTCCAGAGCAGATCCCATGCAGAGCCACTGATCATCACACCTCAACTCTTACAGCTGCTCCCCCTGCCCCCACCCCTCCTCCCATTCTCCTACCCATTACAAGGAATTTGCCTGATATGGGCAATGACCTTGAGGTGGATCCCAGATCTGCCCTGTGTGACCCTTAATTCCCACTGCCCTTGTCTTTTAGCACTTTTTTGCATATATACACCTTTGCTGTGGTAGGGGCCACTGTGCTGCAGACAAAGTGTGAAGTGTTTTCACATAGTAGATGGGAATACTTATTTCCCCTGCCAAGCAACACTTTGACTCCCCACAGTAGGGCTCTAGAGCACACCTACCCTGTCCCCCTGAACCCTGCCTCTCTAAAAAAGAACTATCAAAGGTCTGTGGTTGGTGGGAGTGGTATCGTAGACAAGTTCTCCCTAAAACCCATAAAGTCTTCACCTCAGAGTATCTCACATCTCCTGACCTATCTGATCCAAACTTCATGTCCACTTTTCCCCAGCACATCACACTGCTGAGGTATGCCATGTAGGAAAAGTGACCCCAAGTAGCCACCTCAATGGAGGTGTTCTCTGAGGGACTGAATCAGAAGGTGCAAGGTGTGGTGTTATACATGATGGTGGTGCCAAGGCAAGATTTCCCAATGGTGATCATTGTTTTAGTGTTTAGTGTTTTGTTTTTTTTTTTTTTGCCAGTCCTGGGGCTTGAACTCAGAGCCTGGCCACTGTCCCTGAACTTCTTTTGCTCAAGACTAGCACTCTACCCCTTGGGCCACAGCACCACTTCTGGCTTTTTATGTTTATGTGTTCCTAAGGAATTGAATCCAGGGCTTCATGCATGCTAGGCAAAGCATTCTCCCACTAAGCCCACATTCCCAGCCTCAATTGTTACTATTTATTTATTTACCAGTCCTGGGACTTGAACTCAGGGCTTGGGCACTGACCCTGAGCTTCTTTTTGCTCAGGCTAGCACACTACCACCTGAGCCATAGTACCACTTCTAGCTTTTTCTGTTTATGTGGTACTGAGGAACTGAACCCAGGGCTTCATGCTAGGCATGCTAGGCAAGCACTCTACCACTAAGCCACATTCTCAGCCCGCGATCCTTACTTCTTAATAGTCTCAGCCATCATGTCAGTGATGGAGCCGTGGTCTGAGAGATGAGGGTTAAGGCCCTAGGGCCACTAACTCTGAGCCTACTTGGCACTCACAGTGATGCACAGTGCTTCCCATGCACCTCAGAGATCAGCTCTAATTCAGTTCTGAGCTTAGTGTTGTGATTATCTTCCTTTACCAATGAAGGAAATAGAAGCTGGGTGCCACTGTAATCCTAGCTACTTGGGAAGCTGAGATGTAAGAATCATGGTTTGAAGCTAGCCTGCCAGATACGTCTATGAAACTCTTATCTCCAATTAAGTAAGTACCAAGAAAGCCTGAGTGGAGCTGTGGCTCAAGTGGTAAGGCACTACCCTTGAGCACAAAAGCTCAGAGATAGTGCCCAGGTCTCAAGTTCAAGCCCAACAGCTGGCACAAAAAAACATGAAAGGAAATAGATGCAGGGAGCAAACTGGCCCTTGGACTCGGCTTCAAGTCAGCTGTTTCTCTAACACTCAACCAACGTTTAGCTGTCAATCAGCTGCAGGTTCCTGAGATGTCTATCAAGATTTCCGCACTGGGCACACTGCGGGGTGTTGGGATACTTGCAAGGAATCCTGCAAGGAGGTGAGGGAACGGGCCCACGCGGCCAGCGAGCTGCTGGAGGGAGGAGGGTCCCCGAGCCCACCTATCCAGGGGAAGAGCTGGCTCAAGGTCACACCAGGCAACTAACTCGCAGCGGCCTTTCAAACCCGCGCGAGCCCTGGCAACGGGACTGCTGAGGGGTCAGGAGCGGCATGAAATGGCCCCTCAAGACCCGCTCCAGGAGCCCACGTAGCTTGACCGGAACGTCACCTCGGGCGGAAGTGCCTTTGGCGCTTTCGGAAGTCACTTTCACCAAACTCCACGAGTAACCCCTCCGCCGGAAGTGGCGCAATGCGCACGTGCCTACCCGGGAGGCGGGGCCGAAGGAGAAGCCGCGCCAGGGGCGGGTAGCGGCGGGTTTCGCACGGTCCAATAAGAGAAGGCGGCGTGGCCCGGCCTGTAGCGACCGGAACGCGCCTGCGCAGAGGTGGCCGCACGACCTGGGTTGGCTCCGGGGGCGCGGCGAGGAGGTGAGCGGGGGCCACAGCCCGGGCCGGGGGGAGCCGGGGTGCATGTAGGAGGCCAGGCTGGCTCTGGCCGGGCAGAAGCGGGCCGTGGCTCGGCGTGTAAACGAGGGCTAAGAGGTGCAGGAATTGGGGGGCCGGGGTCGGCGCTGTCCGGAGATGCCGCAAGGGGTGGGGTCTCACGCCGCACGGGGCGGAGCCCTGGGACTCGGGGCGGGACGCGAAACACAGGCTGACCGGACCTCAGAGCGGGAGCCGGTAGAAGGCGGGGCTCGACGGCCAGGGGCGGGGCTAGGGAGGCCTGGGGGTGGGGCCTGGAGCTTGGAGGCGGGGCTGGAGTCGGTGGGAGGCGGGGCCTCGGGTTTGGAAAGCGAGGGGGCCGGAGCCCAAGCGCTGGGGGCGGGGCTTCAGCCGGTGAGTGGCGTGGCTCCAACCCAGGAAAAGGACGGTTCTGCGGGGGGCGGAGCTTCGGAGTCGGGGGCGGAATTCTGTCCCCTGGAAGGCGGAGCCAAGGATTCAAGCCCGGGGCTAAGCCAGAGTAATGGCCAGGGGCGTCCACGCGGGGGCGGTCTCCGCGGTGGCCGGGCCTGGGGACGCGGTAGGCCTCGAACTCCACCTGGAGAGGTGGTGTGGGTGGAGCGGTCTCGGCGGCCCGCGGACTCGGGGCCCATCTGGGTGCCCCGGAGGCCCCCAAGGGCTCAGAGTTGGGGCGGCGCTCCCGGTGGTGGCACCGGGCCAGGCTGGGGGGTACCTCCAGAGGATCGGGGCTCCCCGGAGCCGCCTAGCGGGGACGTGTGGGTGCCTCGGGGCCGGCCCCCTGCAGCGGCCGCAGAGGTGTGGGTCTGCTGGGCCGGGGGCAGCTGGGTGTGGCGCGAATGGGGCCGCTCGGTCGGGGCAACTCCTGTGCAGTCAGATAGGGTCTGGACTTTGCGTAAAGGGACTGGTGGGAACTGAGGAGTCTCAGAGGTGGGGACAGGGAGGGAGGCAAAGGGAAGCTGTGGGGGTGAGCAGAGGGGCGGGGCCCTGGCTGCTGTGGCCTCCCCTGACCCCCTCCCCTCGCTGCTGGGGTCCTCAGCCAAGCCCCCTTCTCCCTGGACTGGTAAGTGTGGCCGCGGAGCCCGGGGGAAGAGGGTGGTGACCGGGACAGGGGGATCTCTAGGGGCAGGCAAGCTATGATGGGGGGTGGCAACCTCCTGGTACTTGCCCTTGTTCCAAGCCCTCCCTGCCTCCTCCCGGTCGGTTGGTCGGGGTCTATGCCCGCAGAGACATGAGGCTGAGCTGGGTCCTGACGGTACTGTCCATCTGCCTGAGCGCCCTGGCCACAGCCGCGGGCGCCGAGGGCAAACGGAAGCTGCAGATCGGGGTCAAGAAGCGAGTGGACCACTGTCCCATCAAATCGCGAAAGGGAGACGTCTTGCACATGCACTACACGGTGGGTGAAGGGCGGAGCTTCCTGGGTGGGTGGAGCTTCTGGGAACCAGAAGTGCCTTGGCAGCTTAGCTTCTCCCCCAGACCAGGTGTGTGACCTTGAACAAGCCCCCTCATCGCCTCTTAAGCCTATTTTCATGATTCTCCTCTGCTCTTTAACTGTCCACTCCCCAGCCGGGCATGAGCAGGCAATAACTGTACCCAAGGCTATGTCCCCTTCAAGGACAAGGGCCACTAGTCAATGCTGTGGGGATCAATTTGATGGGGAGAGCCGCTGGGTGAGGGGGCTCAAGGGTGAAGCCCCCCCTCCTTACTAGCCTTCTCCTGGCCCTACAGGGAAAGCTGGAAGATGGGACAGAGTTTGACAGCAGCTTGCCCCAGAACCAGCCCTTTGTATTCTCCCTTGGCACGGGCCAGGTCATCAAGGGCTGGGACCAGGGGCTGCTGGGGTAAGTCAGGGTGAGGTGGGGGCAGGGCTGGAGCATGCATGGTTGTGGTCCAGGAAGTGACTTGTGGCAAACCCCAGAGGGGGGCAGGGAGACCAGGAGCTGGGGTGCTGCCACATTGTGAGCATGCATTGTCCTGCAGGATGTGTGAAGGGGAAAAGAGGAAGCTGGTGATCCCATCGGAGCTAGGTGAGCATCCCTTCCTGGGGCTACTGGGGACATGTCTGAGGAAGGTGGCCATGGCCTCAGCCTCACTGTGGAGTCACTGTAGCTATATGGCCCTTCTAAGACTGGCTTGTGACCAGCAGCAGGGACAGGCTCAGGCGCTGTAGTGCCCATCTCTGCCATTTACCAGTCCTTTGGTACCCTTCCCTTGCTTTATTTCTGGCCTTTGAGTTGCCCTGGGCACAGCAAAGGGTGTTTGAACTAAGTGGGCGTGGCCGCAGCTCACTGTTTCTCTGTGCATCTTTGACAGGGTATGGAGAGAGAGGAGCTCCTCCAAAGATCCCAGGTAACCCTTTTTCTTAATACACCCACTCTAGCCATCCCTCTCCCATGGCCCAGATTCCATTCTGACCCCACTTTCCCATCCAGGTGGAGCAACCCTAGTGTTTGAAGTGGAGCTTCTCAAGATCGAGCGGCGGTCAGAACTGTAGCAGATGTTGCGGAGGGGCACAGGAGCATCAGGGACCAGACTGTTTCAAAACAACAAAACTCTTACAAGCCCAAGAGTGAGCCTGTGGTTCTTTGTGGGTCCTGAGAGACTTGGTTACAACCACAGCTCAGGGCTGTGGCAGAGCCCCTTGGCAAGGCCCTTGCCTGTAGCATTCAAGGGTATGTTAGATTTGATCCTGGCATCAGAAAAATGACCTTCCTCCCCGCCCCCCCAAGTTCTAGCCTCCCCTCTTGCTTCCTGACGGCATGGCAATCCTTGGCCAGAGGGAATCAGGACTGTTCAAGCCTGCCAACATCACTGCACCCCCAGCTCCCCAGCCACTTCAAAAGCTTGGTCTGGGAGCCAGTGCTGGGCTATCGTCATGGCTACACGGCCCTTAGGAAGGCCTGCAGTCACCTGGGGAGAAATTGAGCTGGCAGCATGTGTAAAGCAGTGTGTCCCCCCTAAAAGACCAGCCAAGCCTGTGAGCTGCTCAAAGGCATATCCTACTTTTATTAAAGGGCCCGCGCCGCAGAGTCAATATAAAAACACAAAAAGTCCCATCAGTTTAATAACAATAAAAAACCCCAAAAGTGGAAAACTGAGGGGGCAAGGGAAGACGCCCCTAGGCCAGGGGCACAGAGGGAGCCCTGCTCAAAGCACCAGGCCTGGCTGCAGGGTTCCCTGGTATTGCTGTTGCTACGAGGTCAGGGGGCAGCGATTGTCCTGTGGGAGCCACCATCCGGTTCACCTGGGTCAGGGACCCTTACTTCTTCTGGGGTGTGCTCAGCTTCTGCATGCCCCGGATCTTGTCCAGCAGGCCAGAGATGAAGGCCTAGACAAAGACGAGGCTGTTAGGGAGACCAGACCCCAAGATGACAGAGGAGAGTGTGCCTCACCTGGCCACCACCCTCTGGGGAAACCACTTACCTCAGTGGGTTTGTAACAGTCAACCAACAGCTCCTGGGTAGGACGGGGAGAAAAGTACACGGTAACTTCTCACGAATGGGGCCCACAGATCAACTATACCCACTCCAAGGAACTTGAATACTGGGGACAGACTTGTGTAACATCAACCTCCTATTTTGAAGGGAGAGGCTGAGGCCCAAGGCCCCACAGCTGGCTGACCCACACCAAAGAAGGCTGCCTACAGGCCTTGCACCTCCAAGGGGCAGTGCTTCCAGGCCCAGACACTTCACCTTGACCCTGGCAGCCCGGGTATCATCGCTCTCCATGTCTAGGAGTTCGTCCACATCGATCTCCAGCTCTGGGATCTCCTCTTCCTGGAGTAAAGAGAGGGGTTGACAAAGCCTGAGTCAGGAACCGGTACTCAGAAGGGCTCTTGGGCTGAGTTCCCTGCCTACCTCAAGCCCGGCCCAGCCCTCTTTGCCCAGCAGATGACAGCTGCTCTGGGAAGGAAAACAGACCAGGCCTGTGCCAAGGCAAATTGCCCAATGGGGAGGGGGGGGGAGAGGGCTTCCTGTCCCTGCCAGTGGGCACCCAGGGTGCCAGACAGACAGAACTGAGGACCTTGGGCTGCGAACCCAGCAGATGTATCTCCCCAACATCCGGGCCCCCCATCTCACAGTACACTAGTGAGGCCAGCTGTCCCAGCTCATCACAGCCCCCTCCCCCAAACACCTGTCACAGTTTCCTGGGAGTGAGGAGGAAGTGAAGGGTGAGGGGTCAGGGGGAAGGACCCAGGCCTGGTAAAGGGGAAACAAAGAGCCCAAGCTTTGGGGAGGGAGGGGGCGCCCACCACCCCTCCCCCCAGGGGACAGCTACCCAGTTCGGGGCTAGCAGCATTCCAGGGCCAGGCTAGGCAAGGCAGCGTGAGGCAAGCCCACTCCTCCCTCCACCCTGCCCCCGGGGGCCCTGAGTCACCATCTGAGCAAACCAGGAGTCACTGGGTGGAGGACCTGATCCCACAGAGCGGGCTAACCTGCCCACACACTAAAATGGAGTTCAGGCTAGCCCATTAAACAATAACCCAGACGCTTTAAGGTTCCCCTCGCCAACCAGTCTACTGTGCCTTTTAACTGCTGTCTAAACTAGCTGGCGCTAGGCAAGCTAGACAGAACTCGGTCCACGGCTGAGGCGGCCCTCGCCTGCTATCCCTTGGGGAAATCTGGAGGACAGCAGGCTTGACCTGAGCACTGCTGGGAGAGCGGGGTCGGGACGGCGAGGCTGAGGTTCGACCAGAAAGAGCACACACTGGGGGGCGGGGCGGGGCGTGCGGAGAGGGGGTGACAGGCGGCCTCGGGCCGGGGTGCCGGGCCGGGGTGCCGGGGCGGCGCGGGGGGCGCACCTGGCAGTCGTAGAGGCGCGTGAGCTGCTCCAGGATCCACTCCTCCAGGTTGAGGCGCTTCCGCAGCTCCTTGCGGTCGTACTTGACGGTGACCTTCCCCTGCCGCCTCACCGGGCCCTCGTCGTCCGCTCCGCCCGGGCCTTCACCTGCGGCCCCAGGGGGGCTCTGAAAGTACACGCGGGGCCCGGGACCGCCACTGCCCGGCCCGGGAGCCGGGGCTGCCAACGCCGCGCCCCCCGCGGGGCCGCTGTCCGCCATGGCGGCCGCCGGGGCCACGTGCGCGCGCCGGGCCCCTCCCTGCGCCGCCGCCTCCCGGACGCCCGCCGGCCGGCTCCGGGCCGCCCGCCCCGCTCGCCCGCTCGCGTGTGCGCTGGAGCTCCGCTCCGTGCGGCTCGGGCGGCGGCGGGGGCGCCCGGGGGCAGCTGCAGCCTGCGGAGCCCCCGGGCCTGGCCTGGCCGCGCCCCGCCCCCTCCCCGATCCGCCCGCCCTTTGTCCCCCGCGGCCGCCGCCCGAGCCGCCGCCGCGCCGCCGCCGCCGCCGCCGCCGCCGCCGCTTTCTCTGTCTCGCTTTCTTCCCCCGCCCCCCGACCACACCCCCTTAAAGGGCCAGCCCCGCCGCGCGCCCCTCGCCGCCGCCCCGCCCCCCGCACGGGGGCTGAGGGTCCCGGCCCGGCTGGCCGCACCCCTCACCCCAGCGTAACCTCCAGGCCCCGAGCCCGCGTGTCCGGGGCGCCCCACTCCGGGGTTTGTGCGCCCGTCGAGACCCAAGTCCTCCTCTGTCTTCCCTGGGACGGGAGCCGGGGGGCCTCCCACGCGTGGGGCGGAGCGGGGGCCGGGGGAGGAGACGTGGGGGAACCCTGATGTCTGGGTCCCCCGACCGTGTGGCCGGCGAGGGGCGCGCGTGCTTCTCCACGCTGACCAACACGTGGACCAGGCTCCGCGGGGATCGAGGCGTGGGGAGGCGGGCCGGCGCCGTCCAGGGGGCCCGAAGCCCCGGGTGTGTGTGTGGGGGGGGGGGGTTCTCGCCGGGAGGGGCGGGTTCCGCCCATGCCCCCTACGGAGAGACCCGGATGGGGGCGCGCGGAGCGGGCTCCCAGGGCCCCGACCCGAGCCCGCCACCGCCCACCGGCCGAGATGGCGGCTGGCTGCGAATTGTGGGAAATGTAGTCCGAGCCACCCCTGGCCCGAGAGCCGGGAAGCGCCAACTTGGGGCTGGACTGGGCGCTGCCCTGGCCGCCGGCAACCCGACCCTAGCCGGAGGAGGAAACTCCGACCGCAGACGGGGAAGCCTGGACTCGCGATAATAAAGGTAATAATAGCATCTGACCCCGAGCGATCGCTGGTGTGGACCTCCACCGTCCAGAGCAGCTGTGTCCGCCACGCGCACACACGGCTGACAGAATCCACAGAAATCACAATAAACTCACCAGCCTCCGCCGTTTCCGTTAGCTTTAATTCACCAGACACTGGGGCCATTGCCAATCACAGGTTCTTTTATTCTAATCTTAATTACTAATAGTGTCGGGTCACACGGGACAGTCACATAAGAATACGTGCAGGTTACAGTATAGCTCCAAAAAGGCTAAAGAGGCTCCAAGGTCCAGGGTTCTGTGCTGAAGGCAGCGCAGAAAGCTGCTATAAATGCAAGAAAAACACTCTGTAGAGCGCCAGGTCAGAAGTTCCGGGAGCCAGGCAGGCACGGAGGTGTCAACAGCTGAGACTTGCCACATGAAGGTCTAGGTGACAATTCTAAGCGTCAGTTTGAAGCAAGCTGGAGTCTAGGGACTTGAGCACAGGTCCTTCACTGTGGCCAGCTTCCTGGATGGGGCTGATGATGAGTGAGAAAGATGGTGGTGGTGGGATAATGTGGGTCTCTGTGTCCCTGGGTCCGCTAGGTGCCAGTCACAGGATGCTCCTTCATTTCTGTGACCCAGGCAAAGGCTTGCACCGTGTGATCATGTCTCTGGTTTTTCCTTTTTTTTTTTTTCTTTCTTTTTATCAGTGCCAGTACTGGGGCTCAACCTCAGGATCAGAAATCTGTTTTCTGGGGGCTGGGAAGGTGGCTCAGTGGTAGAGCGCTTGCTTAGCAATGCATGAGGCTCTGGGTTCGATTCCCCAGCACCACATAAGCAAAAAGAAAAAAGCCAGAAGTGGCACTGTGGCTCAAATGGTAGAGCGCTAGCCTTGAGCTGAAGAGCTGAGGGACAGCGCCCAGGCCCAGAGTTCAGGCCCCACAACTGGACCTAAAAAAAAAATTAAAAAAAAAAAAAGAAATCTGTTTTCTGCTCAATGCTGGTGCTCTACTATTTGAGCCACACTTACACTTCTGGCTTTTTGGTGGCTAATTGTGATAAGAGTCACAGGACTTCCTTTCTTGAGCTACTTTTGAACCTTGATCCTCAGATCTCAGCCTCTTGAATAGCTAGGATTACAAGCATGAGGCACCAGGGCCTGGCATCTGATATGGTTTTAAATACACTGAGTGTCCATGTGTTCTAGATTTAATTTGATAAGCTTATAAGTAGTAGTCTCTTATTTGCATAAATAAGTTATTTATTGGTCTCTGCCTCTTCTTGCCTGGCGCTGGACAGATGGTGGTTGTTTACTTGCATAAACAAGATGTAGAGTCATTCTGCCTCAGCATTCACACACAAAATGCAAAATGGAGTAAACTGCTTTATAAAAAGTCAGTTAGGGAAGGCACAGCCGGAAGGCCGCATGCCACACTCACTGGGTCAGTTCCAGCCTGGGGCTTGGGCTTCCTCTGCCTCAGCTCTTCCCCAACAATGATTCTGCCCTGCACACCTCTCTTAAGCCGGCTCTGTCTTCCAATTTATCCTTCTGATTTTCTGCATCTTTAAATTGTCCCATTTGTTCCTTTATTGTCTCCTTCTCAATTCTAGACTGCGAGCTTCTAGGCCCCAGAGCTGTGCGGACCAAAATTCCCAGGTCAGCCTCTGCCTCCTGAAATCTACATACATTAAGAAATCCCCTGGCAGGCTGGGAAGGTGGCTCAGTGGTAGAATTGCTTGCCCAGCATGCATGAAGCCCTGGGTTTGATTCCTTAGTACCACATAAGCAGAAAAAGCCGGAAGTGGCGCTGTGGCTCAAGTGGTAAAGCTCTAGCCTTGAGCAAAAGAAGCTTGGGGGACAGTGCCCAGACCCTGAGTTCAAGCTCCCTGACTGACAAAAAAGAAAAAGAAATCGCCAGGCTCCAGTAGAACCCCTAACTGCCAGAGCCACAGCTCAAGGCCCCATTCTATCAGTGAAACCAATGACTGAGTGAAACAAAGAATGCATGAACGGCTTGCTCAGAAGGTAGAGGGAAATTCATAGGAAGTTTGATTACAACACCAAGTAGGTTACTACGGGGCTAAACGGGGAGCTGAGATTTTGAGGTCCTGCATGACTCCCCTCCACTCACACAGGGTTTCTGCTTCTTCCAACCTCCACTCACCCAACAACGTTGTGCAGCTCTACCTGGGCTGTTTCCACGGCCAGCACACTCACCTCTCACAGTCCCAAAGAGGATCTCAGGTTCCCAGAAGCAGTTAGTCCTGGCCCCTGCCTTGTCTCGGGATGCTGGAGAGAGAAGCTTCTCCGAGCAGGTGGGGTTTAGAGAAGGGTAGGGATTGGCCTAGGCTTAAATAGCTATTGTTTTAACTAAACTCAAGGTTCCTCCCTTCACTCCGTAATTGGAGAGCTTCCACGGAAAAGACATAGGCTGTGAATGGGGTGCCGGGGGAGCTGGGGGGAAGAGGGGTGCAGGTTTCCAGGGATCAGTGCAGAGGAAGCTGAAGCTCCTTTCCTCCTAGACGCCATCCTTTGGCCTTAGTCTCAGTCTCCCTTTGGTAAGTCTGCAGGAGCAGGGAGGGGCGAGGCTTACCCCTGTCAGGCAGGCCCTGTCTATCCAGAGCCCAGCTCCTGCTCCAAGCCTGGCCTGATAGGGAGAGTCATTTTACCCAAGTCTGAGTACCCCACTGTGCTCTGCTTCTCCCCACCAGGGCAGGTCAGCTGGTTCAGAGCCTCAGCCTGGATTTTAGTCTTGGGGATGCTCCTGGATCAGAGGGTGGCATGTTTGAATGACCTGTAATATCACCACCCCTGTGGGAGCTGGGCTTGCAGCCTGGAAGAACTCCATTCCCCAGCACTGACCTTCTTCCGTCCAAGGAGGCTCTCAGGAGCACACCTGGGAGTGCTGGCCGCAGTCTTCTTGGAGGCAGGGCTGCCTGACACAGCACCCTGGCCTTGGAGGAGAGGGTCTGGGTTCAAATCCTGATTTTTGTCCACCAGGCTGAGATTGAGTTGGGCGAGTTCCCTTACCTATGCCAAGTCCCTACCACGAAGCCGATTATCCTGACTTTGTGGCTAGGGGTACCGGAGTGCTCTGGCGCCTGTATCCCTGCGCTTGCTGGTCTGTGAGTCCTCCTGGGGCTGCTTCCTCATCCTTCCAGCCTCAGGCTGTGGCCTCGGAGCCCCACCCCTCCTGTTGCAGGCCCCCTCCCACCGGAGTGCAGCTCAGGCTGCCCGCAGCAGGGGCCCTGGGGAGGGTCCCGTGGGCCTAGACTGTTCCCTTAATCGAGGGTAGAGGCCGGAAGAACTGCCTTCCTTCCACCATTACTGCTTGCTTGCCGAGAAACCCATTACCATTACCAGGGTGAAGAATGTGTCCAGGAGGAAGGAGGCCTCTAATGGTGTGTGTGTGGGGGGGGGGGTTGCTCTCAGGAGACTCAGACTGAGAGTGGGAGGGGGGGGGGGAAGAGGCCCTGGCCTAGCAATCAGCTCCCATTCTGTTTTTCAAGGAGCTGTTGGCTTGCTGCCTCTTGCCTAAGGCCTAGGGTCCAAGACTCAGGCCTGTTTGCCTCAGCCCTGGCCCTCGGGTTCTCTGCTCTGCAGCTGACCCCTTCCCTTTCTTCCCTCTTCCCTGATGCTTCCATGGTGACACTGTTCCTTTTGAGTCACCGAGCCTGAAGAGCCACCACCCATCCAAGTGCTTATTTCATCCTCTGAGATCCCCTAGTGATTGAGGTCCCGGCAACACTGGGTTCTGCAGTCAAAAACACTGGAGTTGCAATCCATGGGGGAGAGGCCAACCTGTATCCTACATGGTTGGGTTCTCCCAATGAGGTTGGGTGGTCCCTGGTTCTCTGAGGGGGTCACTATTGTGGCCCTGGGGAGAAAGGATGGAGAGCACAAAGAAAGATGTGTAAGGAATTGGAGGCAGGAAGTCCGAAAGAGGGTCAGAATCCTTGCAGGAAGCTATGTGACCTTGGGCAAGTCCCTTCCTTTCTCTTGGGCGTCCAGTGGAGCAGGCCAGACAAAGGCAAGGGCCTCAAAGGGCAGGGAGTTTCACTGAGTTTGTCGGCGGGCACCTGGGGATCTGGAGGAAAGCCGGTGTCAGGCAAGGTTCCCCCTGAGGTCTCAGAGCCTGGGGCATACAGGCCTATAGGGCAGCAATCCTAGGCTGACCCCCCTCCTCTCCCAGAACCAGCTCCAACTCTTTCTGGGTTTCTAGGTGACTTGGCTGGCCCCTCTGGATGAGTTCTACTTTAAACCTGC